TAAATGTGTCAGTCTGAGTCATTACCGTTTTTATATTTAAGATCCCTAATTTCTCTTACTATAAATAGTACTTTTGCTTTATTTTTTTATTTTCTCTTGCTCTATAAATATTCTTGCTCTATAAATATTCCCAGAAATATTTATATTCTTCCTAAACAAATACTTTATATTATATATTTTTTTTTTTTGAGTTTAGTTACTAAACATGAATACAAAAACAACTGAAAACTATATTGGATATGAGTCTCTTGTTTCTTATTTAATTGAGTCAAATAATTGTTTGTCATACTGCAGATTTTTAAGCCTTAATCAAGATACCATAATTGCTTCACTAACCCAACTAACTAGCTCTTCATTAACATTGGCAAAGTGGCAAAGCATTGATATCACTTGGTACAAACGTTTTTTAAATGTAGCCAAAAAATTATTAGAACCAGATATTTTTGTTGCAGTAAAGGATAAGGTGCGTTTATTTTTATTTTGCAAAGTGTGGGTAACTCCTAATACTCGTCGTAGTCACCTAAGTGAGAATTACTGTTTTGACAACCTTGGTAACCAGCCCAAGCTCTCAACTCAGGCACCCTAACTTTGTTGTTGATAAAGTCTGCTAATTCTGGAGGAGGAATTGGCTATGTACCTTCTTTATTACTAAATAAATTTAATGCACTACTAATAATCTTATATCTTCTTATAACAGTTAAATACAGAACGGTTGCGTTATGCAAAAAGATTGCAAGCATTCTGGCAAGGAATTATTAAGGAATATGAAAAAAAGAATCTAACACCTGCTATTTATAATGATGCATCTTCTCCAAAAGAAACAGATCCTACTGATCTTTCTAAAACTTCACAAGAGCAAGAAATCATTAAGGAATATGAAAAGAAAAATCTAATATCTGATATTACTAATGTTGCAAGTTTTCCAAAAAAGACAGCTGTTATTTCTAATGTTAAATCACCTTCAAAAGAAACAAATGAAGTTCCTGCTGGTTTTTTTAAGACTTCACAAAAGCAAGAAATCATTAAAGAATATGAGAAGGAAAATTTTAAATCTTTTTCAAAAAAAATAGAGATTTTACAAACAGATATACAATCAGATATATCACTTCAAAAAGAAACATCCAAAGTTTCTGAAACTTCACAATTAAATTTACCTAAAAAGAATATTAAACTTATTAATTTTTGTTATGATATTCTTCATGAACTTGAAGATGAATCTTATGCTAATTTATTTTATAAATATGCTGAAGATATTAAAAACAAAGATATAAAACATCCAATGGATCTATTTACTATAAATTCTAAATTAGAAAATAATCAATATATAAGTTTAGAAGAATTTGAAAATGATATTCATTTAATATTTCGCAACTGTTATACATATAATGATATTAACAGTGAAGTATATTGTTCAGGTGAAGCATTAGAATCTATTTTTAATAAAAAATGGAATGAAAAACTTATTTTTCAAAATAAACAAATAAGAGAATTAAAAAGAATAAGAGATAATGATGCTGATGATACAGATAGATCTTGGAAAAAACAAAGTCAAATTTTAGAACAAAATAAAGATAATTTAATATATAGACAAGTTATTAATGATGCACTTCTTGTTGCTTCAGCATATGAAGATCTTGTTAAAAATAATATTATACCTTTTATTGAGATTTTAAAAACTTTTTTATTAACAAGATCAAAAATATCTTTATCTTCAGCAAATGAATCAATGCTTCAAGCAATTGTTGAAAGTCTTTTACCATTAAAATATCGTATTCCAGAACTTTCATTAGTAATGGATGGTACAAAATCAAAAGGATCAGGACGTTTTGGTTATTCTGATATTTTTATTTTAAAAGGAACTGGAGATATTTATATTAGTTTAGAATTAAAATATATTTCATTGGTTGGTTTAATAAAAAATCAAAAAGATAAATTTGGTGCAAATGAATTAGAAAATTTAGATAAAATTCTTGAGAAAGAAAGTGAAGAAATTTTATTGAAAAGATCATATACATATTGGTCAAAAGAATTTAAAAAAACAAATCAAACAACTATAAATGAAATATTAAATGATGGTATAAATCAATTAGAATCATATATGAATACAATTTCAAAAGGAGAAGTTATTAATTATTTTAGTTCAGGAGTATTTGATAAACGTATTAAAATAATTAAATCAAATCCTAATAAATTAAAAGGATTTGTTGTTTTAGTAATTGGTTTTCGTCGTATTTTATGGAAACCTGTTAAAGAAGTAATGTCTAATTATATATATAATACAATTTAGTTTAATAATTTAGATTTAAAGCGGCAGGTAGTAAGTAAGTAATGGAAATTGGCTAAGTAAGTAACGTAAAATTACTGTTTTAGGTCAATTTACGTTACTCCCCTTATATAAGGCACGGAACGTAAAGTCAATTATATTTACTTTACGTTACTCCCCTTATATAAGGTACAGAATGTAAGGTAAATTTAAAAATCGGTTAAACTTAAAATTTTATTACGAAAATATTTTAAAATTTTTTTGCAAACACATTTATTCAAAATAATCGATTTATTTAATGAAATTTTATTTGCAAATATTAAATTTAAGTCACACATCTTCGATTTTAACGAAAAAAATCACTGTATTTATTTTAATGTAGTGATACAAATAAAAATACAATAACAATAAATAAAAAAGATAAATAAATTACAATGATCAAGGAGAAAAATGCTAATAAAAAAATGAAATAACAATAGAGTAATGGAAAGTAATAGGTGAAGAAAGGGAGTGATAGGAAACAAAAAGGAGAAATAGGACATGATGGGAGATGAAAAAGAGTGATGGGAGATGGGAGACGAAGAGGAGTGATGAGGGACAAAAAGAAAGGATGGGAGACGAAAGGAAGTGATGAGAGGCAAAAAGAAATGATGGGAAGTAAACAGGAGAGAAAAAGAAATAATGGGAAATGAAAAGATGTAATAGAAATAATGGGAGACGAATAATGAGAAGTAATATGAGGTGAAAAATGATGAGGGACAAAAAATAAAAAAATGATCATGATAAGAGGTTGGGTAATGATAGAAAACCAAGTAAAAAAATAAACCATAAAGTAAAAAAAAAATGAAGTTAGTAAATAAGATAAAAACGAAATAAAAAAAATAAATAAAAAATAAAAAACATACCTTTATTATTTATAGAACTGAAAGAACTAAAATAACTAAATAAAAAATGAAATAAAATTAGTGAAAACCGAAATATGAAACAGAAACAAAATAAAAAAAACAAAAAAATGAGTAAGAAACGAAACTATACTGAAAACGAGATTCGATAAACAAATAAACATGACGCGATCATGTGGCAAATATAAGGAGTAACGTAAAGTATTTACCAAAAAAATTTACGTTCCGTACCTTACTATATAAGAGAGGTAACGTAATAGATCATGTGACTTTACGTTACTTACTTTGTCAATTTCCGTTACTTACTTTCTATATATTCGATTTAAAGTAATCTAAATATTTTACAAATATTACTTTATTTTATTTTTATATAAATAATTAAATAAAATTACTGCTAAATCTATTATTGATTGCATATAAAAATTATTCAAAATTGATATTAAAATCTGAATTTAATATTATTTAATATAAAGCTTATGAAGTTTAATTACAGAATTAATATGATGGTCTGGATAAAAATTTTGCGCCACATCAGATCATTATTAAGCGCCCGTAAGCAACTTTTGCAATATAGTAGATACAAATATTATAAACCCATGACTTTTATTAATTTTTAGGTTAGTAATAACCATTTTTATTATGAGGAATGTGTAAAACAGCATAAAAATTGTTATACAATATGTGCAATAATTAGTAATATATAAAAATAATTATACAAAATTACAATACTTTCGCACAAGTCATGAGTCATGAGTCATGATTCATGACTCATGAATTATCATGACTTGCAATTTAACTTTTGTACATTTTTGGTACTTAATATTACAAAAATTTCATACAGCAAAAAATTATTTAAAAAGACCCTATTTCCTTTTTTTTTATTTTAAACAAATAATTACGCATATGGTCTTGCGGAAGGAGAAGTCATGGATTTCGTTGACTTCAACGCGCACATATAATTCAAAGAATTTAATTTTCGTACAATAATTTGTAATTAATTTAATTAGTTGAAAGTTTGAATCAAAGTGGTGTTGATCTGAATAATTACTAGGTAATCCAAAATTTTCCAAATAATCTACGGCTGCTATAATTTTAATAACATAACTTACAGTATAACATGGAATTATCTCCAAGTCATCATTAAACAAGAAATCATTTATTGTGATTAACAGGATATTTGGTGAGTTATTGTGTTCATTTTGAGCTTTAATTGCAATGAAGGCTTTTTTACGATTTAGTTCATGGGTCTGCTCACGTATGTATATGTCTAAGGTTTTCCAAGTATGCTTAATATTTGTCGGGATTCTTTGTGAGTCTAGATTAAATCTGGTATATGTGCCTGAGTAAGCGTGGATGAGCGTTCTGATATCAGCCTAGTAATTCAATAACTCATTTATCTGAGTGATCATAGGATAACTTTTCTCTTTTGTTTCTACTAGATATCCATACACGAGAAGCGACGCAAAAAAAAATGAAAACAAAATTGTAAAAAGAGTCATGTTACGCAGCACGAAATTTTTAAACTAAATAGTTAAATTATACGTCTTCCTGAAAGGACAAAATATAAAGAAAAAAGGTTAACAAAACCCCATTTATTTAATTTCTAATGAAGTGTTTTAAATTTGAAAACTATAATACATGATGAACGTGCTACAGTATATACAAGGTTTAAATAGTAAAAAATAGTATTTTTCTATTACTAGGATAATAATTTTTATTTAAAAATTCTTATTGTTTCTTAAAATTTAAATGTATGAAAATTTTTCTTGTAGTACACAAATGAACAGCAGCGTAACGCTGGTGTTTGGAACTATATGATATATGGACAACCATAATTATTTTTTACCAGATATTGAATTATTCCCGATATCTTCAATTTCTAAACAAGATAAAGTGGATAAATTACGTTTCATTTATGGTTAATATACTCTCATCTATAAATTAATTACTTACTGTTCGGAATGCTAAAATTATGCTGACTACGATGAGCTAAATAATATAAAGAATATTTAATTAAAAATTAGTATTAAAAAAGTAGTAACTAAATACTGATATCTTACCTTCGGTAACATTTCTTATTTCAGGTAAATTTCCGAATTTACTAGAATTGTTGTCTAATGAATAAATACTAGCAATACTATTAGCGCTTGTACAATTACTACTTGTAACTAATATTTGTATATTATCATGTTGCTTATTACTTTCGTATTGATCATTTTGATAATATAATTTTCTTATTTCAAAAATCTTACTATAAAGACTATTGATATCAGGTCTTTTTGTTGGATCAGCGTGCCAACATTGCTCCATTAATTTTTTATATTCTAGAGGTGTATTTGACATTATTTTCGGTCTCATTCCATCCATTATTTTCGTTGCTAAATAGTAATCATGTTTATGATTAATAAAAGGTGATTGACTGGACGAAACTTCCCACATTAACATTGCAATACTATAAATATCAGATGCGAAAGTGGTTTCTTTTTTAGAAATAACTTCTGGAGCTATATAAGGTAAATTTCCGTATATACTATTTAATTTTTTGTCGGCTGATCCACAAAATCCAAGATCACTGATATAAAATTCTTGATTAAGTTGGGAAAATAATATATTTCCGGAATGTAAATCTCTATGAATTGCATTCTCATTATGAATTTGAGAAAGTGCATTAATTATATAAAAAATAATATCAATTTTTTCTTTCCATGTAAGGTTATAATGATTTTGTTGTAAATATTTTCTTAAATCCATATCCATTTGTTGTATTACGAGAATATAATTTCCATCTGATGGATCTTTTGTTAAACCGTAACATTTTACTACGCCGGACCATTTGTTGCTTAAAGTTAGATGAGATTTACCCTACAAATATAAAATTAATATAAAATTATGATGAAATAATGTATTCACCGCACCCTGCGTTACAAATTTATATATATTTTTATGTTTATCATTTGCCATTTTAAGGGGGGTGCAGCGTATAAACTAAAGATCGACATAAATAATTTACAAAAAAGGAAGGATGCTTTGTAACGCAGGGTGCGGTAAATAAATTCACTCAATTATGATTATCCTAATAAGAATATATATTATTTTTTTCCAACTATTATCGACTCTGAACTTTTGCCATTTGCACCTCAAGCCATCAATGTTCAGCAAAAATAATGCTTTGTGTAACAATTCGAGAAAAATATTAACGAAGAATTAGTACTTCACGCATCCTGCACATAAAAATGTATTTCTTTTATGTTTAACTATAGCGAAGATTAATGTGGCTGGATATCTGTCGCTTACGATTTTTCTTTTTCATTTTTTTTTTTTAAAAAAAAATGCAAGATTATGTAATAATGGGAGACAAATAGTGCTTGAGCGTAGAAAATTAACGATATAATTATATTTTACGAAAAGTGAAGTTTTTAATAATGACATATTATTTCGGTAAATATTCATCCTTTATCAAACTTTGCACTTAATCCTACAAAAAAAAGATTTTTTTTTTTTTTTAAATTAGAAATATTAGCGTTAAGATTAAGAATCAAAACGCGTTATAAACTTGGATTTTTTACTCCAAAACTAAATTTCTTTTGTAAAATAAACTGAAATGCAAGGATATTTATATTTGGTCAAAATATAGAACCCTTGTAAATCAGTTTTAAGTTACAAAAAATATTAGTTTTATCATAAAAAGTACAAAGTTATAAAAAATTTGAGGTTAAAATTCTTTTATTTATTAAGCGGAATATGATTAAACATTTTTTTGAAGTTTGGGAAAGGGACCGATTATAAAAACTTTTTTCCTAAAAAAAATCCTTTTCCTAAATAAATCCTTTTCCTAGTAGTACTTTTTAAGGTCGCTATAAAAAAAAGTTTACTCTTTTTTTAAAAAAAGCGGCGCTCAATAAAAAAGTACTGGCGCGGTATAGTCTATTTTCTATTTCTATTTAACCTATGCGAATCTGATGATGTTACACGAACAATATTTACGCGGAGTTAAATTTTTCTTGGGGTACTATGAACGAGTACTATAAAACCTCCTACACTCCTATAAATACCCTTGATCAAGTTAAAATTCTTACCTCATCAAACCAATTTCTGTTATTGCTTTCACCATTTTCCAATCTTTTAAGTATTACTTGTTGCTTTCCAAATCTTTTTAATTTTCGTTCTTGATTATTCCATTGAAAATATTCTCCATCGATCCAATCCGCCGTATAAATTTCGGAGTAACCACCTTTAGTTAAATATGTAATATTTCGTAAATTATTATATGGAATCCATTCTATTATCCCATTAGGAGCATATGATTCCGTTTGACATTTTCGTATTAAATCATCAATATCTTCATTTTCGGACGTCCAATTTGAAAAATTTTCTTTTAAATAATTTCTAATACAATATTCACAATATGTTATGGCCAAACATTCTTTTTGACAATTTTCACAAATTCTTTTTGTTCCTTCATTATAAAGAATTTTATCTTTGTCAAATATATTATTTAATAATTTTATTGCTTCTAACTTTTCATCTTTCGTAAGAATTTCTTCTTCATTATTAAGGATAATTTGTTTTATGTATTCGTATTTCTTTTCTAAATTGTTGTGAATATTTAAATCTATTAATGATTTTGATTTATTTAATGTACTAAAAATTAATTCATAACGAATGTTAGCCATAATGAAATTTTTAAATTTTTGAAAAAGGAATATTCGAATTATTCGAATTGAAAAAATGTAAGTTTTTTCATAAGCTTATAAGCATACATAAACGGTCCTAATAGGTTTAAGTGATTTGACAATATTTTCGTATGAAAGGAATAAATAGAATTCTATTAGAATTTTCGTTGTTCACTAGTAATAGTCTAGTAGTAGTAGATCAAATTATACGTTAATGAATGATTGGACAAATTCACTTTATATGTGGCGTTTAATTCTAAAAATAAGAATATTTAAATGTTGATCATAAAAATGACGAGGGATGACCCAATAAAATTTTCTTCTTCCCCCTAAAAAATAACACTATATAGAAAAGATCATCATATATATTAGAATTTATTACACAAAATTTACGCCTTATAAATTTTTTTCTGGAGAGAAAAAATTAGAGTTTCTTTAAATTACACAATTATTATGATGTGCAAGGTTTGGCCACAGACGCAGTAAATCCACGATCAACTAATAAAATATTATGAGTAATCATTTGTCACGTGTTCTAATCATTGCATGGGTATGCGCAGATTATCTAATCATCGATATACTCCATGTAATAGTAACATTTTCTTGCTCAGCTCGATCATTTCGATTACTTTATAGGAGAATCGTATTCACGAGTCATATTTTATAATTAGGATTGCGTCTATCAAGTAATAATAACTCAACTATCATGTATGTTCCTGTAGTAGTTTTCGCTCATATCAGGTCATCAAATACGTAATTATTAGCGTTGCATCATATGTGGTTCATTTTTCTATATATAATTAATAAAATAAGATGTTGAATAAATTAATTGCCCGGTTAGTTCAGTTGGTTAGAACGCCACAACTTAATTAAATAATATAAGTTTTCAAAGATAAATCGTGGAAACGCGGGTTCAATTCCTGCACTGGGCTTTCTTTTTCATACTCTTTTTTATATATAAAAAAAATTAAAATTATAATATTCAATTGAACAAACTATATATGAAATAGGACATTTGTGATCTCAGTTCATAATTTCACGATCAATTAGTATTACCATCATATAATTCAGCAGATAAACATTGAGTGTTTATTTTTCTGTATATCAATAATAAAATGAAATGTTAAATAAACTAATCGCCCGGTTAGTTCAGTTGGTTAGAACGCCACAACTTATTAAACGTAAATTTTCAAAGGTTGATCGTGGAAACGCGGGTTCAATTCCTGCACTGGGCTTTCTTTTGCATACTTTTTTTCTTTTTTATATGAAAAAAATAATTACGATAATCGATTTTAGATACCGACAAACTAATCGTCATAAGATGCAGTTTGTCATTTCACGAATTTCACTGATCAATTAGCTTATCATCATATAATTGATAAGAGAACAGCAGATAAAATTTAACTATACTAACAATTTGGTATATCAAATTTATATAGTTTACTCAAATTCTCCAACCAAGAATATTTTTATATAATAGCTTTTATAGCTCTTTATTTCTCTAATAAAATGATTATTTTATTTTAGTAAAAAATAAAATGTCTATCCCTTTAATGTTATCCGTATGTCAAAATAAGCCGAAATAAGGTGATTGCACGGGTGAAGATTATACAGAAATCTTTACTTTTTAATCTTGTTAAGCTGAATTCTTTATTAGGTTATGCAAGTATTTACACGCAGATACAAAATATAAAGCGTGATAACATGATTATATATATATTATCTAAAATAGTCCAAATAAATTAAAAACAAATAAATAAATAATCCTTTGTTCATTGCGAACATACTGTATAAGCATTTTTTACCAAATATTATATATAATTATTTGTAGTACTTGGTGTAGTGACACAAGACATGAGGTACAGACTATTAATAGACTATTAAATTCTAATAGTTAATTGGATTTTTTTTTGCACACCAGATTTATATTCAATTTATTCTATCGAATATTTTCTTAATATTATGTCTACTATCTAGTTTATAGAATTGACTCAAACAGTACAAAAAAATGAAAAAAAATGAAGCAATAAGATTAAATAATAAAATTATGATCTGCCGATCATTTCCAAGATGTTTTTATTAGGGAAATTTTCACGCAACAATGAGGCTTGACAATTGACAAGCAATCATCTAAAGAGATATTATCTAATATCACCGAATATTACACTCGAACATTATTATATTCTCCTTCTTTGGAATTGTATATATTAATAATTTACAAACATTTCATGATATTTTTTATACCAAATTATTTTCTCTAAATTTAACTTCAAGTGTTATGTTTGTCTACTTGTACTTCCGTTCTCATACAATGCATTTTGCATAAATATTATTATCGTATAGTATGCCAATATTAATAAAGGCGTTTAATAATTAAATAAAAAAAGATATATTTACGTTATACTTTCCAGTTAAGGGGAATTTTGATAGTAATGGCTCACAATAACGATAGAGGTAAGAGAGTAAGTTATTTATTTATTTAATTCTATTATTACTTATTTATATAATATTTACATATAATTTAAACTAACTAAATTCTTTATTTAAAAAATTATTTTATAGATATGAGTTATTTATTTAATTCTATTTATATAATATTTATATATAATTTAAACAATTAAATTCTTCATTTGAAAAATACTTAATATATATGGTACATGTTTATAATATTTACCTATAATTTAAAATAACTAAATAAATTAATTAACTAGGAAGTAAATCAGTAAATCCAGTAAAAGTATTAATATTGTTATGAATAGTGAAGTTGCTTCAATAAAATTAATATTTGAATGGTTTCATATCTGCTGAACAGCTTTCTAAGCCAATTTCATTTAGCAGACTGTGCTGTTGAAAATATGTTTAGTATAGTTATTTCACTAAAAAATATCTATTTTTTCATAAATATTTAAAACATTAACATATATGTATTTTTATACTTGTTAAATGACTCACTCTCCTTTATTTCATTTAATTGATAAAATTAATATTAAGAGATCCATAAAAAAATATATTTGTTTCCACACTTAAGTTCTTTAAAAACATTTTAACTTTTTATTTAATAGATTTCTAAAAAATATTTTTTATGGAGGAAAGAAAGTTTGTGGAAGAAATAATTTTGTTGTAGCTGTAAACAACAAACAAGTAAAGCTGATCATGTCACAAGATTCCATGTATGTATAAGGTACATAATGTAAAATAAAAAAAATTTTTTATGTACCTTATATTGTTATAATAAATGGATAAACATTACATTACCTAGTATCTACTTAAGTTACCAATTTCCTGCATATTCTATTTTACCAGAACTAAAATATAATTATTTGTATTTGGATTTTGAGATATCCCATATATATCATCTGTTAAATATTTTTTAGCCTGAATATAAAATAAAGTGAGAAATATATTATTAATAGTATTAAGAATATTTTATAAAAATGTTATACCTCATTTATTAGAGAGTCAACAGAATTTAGTGAGTTATATAAATATTTTAAAACAACTTTTCTTGATTTTCTTGTATATCTAAGATCCCAATCATCGTAATATAATGGACCATCCTTCAACATTGTGTGATATACTGTTGAATCATTATTATCTATTTCTTCAATTTCGTCAAGTTGATCATATGGTATCCATTCAAATACAATATCTTTATGATTATTCCTTTTTAATAGCTTTTCTTGAATAAAATCATCGATTTTTTCATTTCCACTAATCCAATTTGCTAAGTTTATGAAATTATTTTGAACCAAAATATAATCATTTGTATCTGGATTTTGAGATATTCCATATAATATGGCAAATGCAACTTTTTTTGGTAAATATTTTTTAGCCTAATAAATAATAAAATAAATAAATTAATTTTATTGTTAAAAGTTAGTAAAATATTTATAAAAATCTTATACCTCATTTATTAGGGAATCAATAGAATCTTCTGAATTATGCAGGCATCTTAAAGCAACTTCTATACTTGAATCTCGTGTATAATGTTTATACTGATAATTATAAAGTAATTGACCATCCTTCCATACTGCTGAATACATTGTAATAGAATTAGTATTCTTGCCTATTTCTTCAATTTCATTAAATTGATTGTAGGGTATCCATTCAAATACTGCATCATCATAGTGATTAATTTTTAATTGCATCTCTTGAATAAAATCATCAAGTTTTTTAATTCCACTCATCAATATTAAATTTTTTTGAACCAAAATATAATCACTTGTATCAGGATTTTGAGATATTCCATATATTTTAGCAACCTTTCTGCCGAATATACTTGTTAAATGCTTTTTAAGCTGAATTGAAAATAAATTTGAGATAAAAAAAAAAAATTAAAATATTAGGAATATTTGTAGAATTTCTTACTTCACTTATTAGAATCTCAATAGAATTTTGTGAGCTATGTAAATGTTTTAAAGCAACATTTGTATTTGATTCTCTCATATACCTCTTATCCAAATTACTGTAAAATAATGGACCATTATTCCATATTGCTGAATGTACTGTTATAGGACTTTTGCCTATTTCTTCAATTTCATCAAGTTGATCGTGTGGTATCCATTCAAATATTATATCATTATGGCTATTTCTTTTTAATTGCATTTCCTGAATGAAGTCATCAATTTTTTCATTCCCACTTGCCCATTCCAAAACTAAAATATAATTATTTGTATTTGGATTTTGAGATAGTCCATATACATCCCAAATTACTCTGTTAAATCTTTTTGTTGAATATTTTTTAACCTAAATATAATCAAAAGAGATAATAAATACATTATATTAAAAGTATTAAGAATATTTATAAAATTGTCATACCTCATTTATCTTATTTATTAGAAAGTCAATAGAATTTTGTGAATTATGAAAATAATATTTTAAAGCAACTTTTTTATTTGGATCTCTTGTATATTCATTATACCAATTATTGTAAAATAATGGACCATCCTTCCATATTGCTGAATATACTATTGTAGAATCATGTTTGCCTGTTTCTTTAATTTTGTCAAGATGATTGTATGGTATCCATTCAAATACATTATCATAATGATCCCTCATTTTTAATTGCATTTCTTGAATGAAATCATCAATTTTTTCATTTCCACTGAACCATTTTGCTATGTTTATAGAATTATATTGAACTAATAAAATATAGTCATTTGTATCTGGATTTTGAGATATTCCATACAATGCAAGAAATGCATTATATTTTGTTGAATACATTTTAGCCTAGATATGTATAAATGGTAAATATACTAAATTAAAAAAAAAAGTATTTTAAATTTTTTAATATTTACCTCATTAATTAGAAAATCTATGGAATCTTGTGAGTTATGTAAACATTTTAAAGAAACCTTTTTATTTGAATCTCTTGTATATTTATTATACTGATCATTGTAAAATATTGGACCATCCTTCCATATTGCTGAATATACCGTTCTAAGCCCATTTTTGTCTATTTCTTTGATTTCATTAAACTGATTGTATGGTATCCATTCAAATATTACATCATTTTCGCTATTGAATTTTAATTGTATTTCCTGGATGAAGTTATCAATCTTTTCATTTCTACTAGTCCAACATATAAGATTTTTTTCTAAATATTTCAGAATGTTAGATGATTTTAAAGGATTTTTTTGGGGAAACATTATATAGAAGTTCAAAAAAATTTTATTAATAAACTAAAATTCCAAAAAAAGTAATCTTATATAATGCAATTTAAATAAGCTTATGTAAGTATTACATAAGCTTAGTAATATTTTCAAAATGGATAAAATCAATGTCAATCATGTAGCACAAAAAATTACATATATGAAAAGAATTTAAATCTTTATAACTTTGAGCAAAAAATTTTTAGGTAAATACACAAACTATTTGAAATCATATTTAAAGTTTGACAGAAAATATTTAGAAATTAATTCCAGTATTGATTATGATAAAAAATCCAAAATAAATTTCAGGTTCTTTGAGTGGTAATTGATAAAAATTTTTTTATATATGATAAGTTATTTATGTAGGTCATACACAATTTCAGGTTATACAGTGCTAAAATCAAAATTTTTGCCTCGTTTCTTATGGCGAGCTGTGCTTGTCGAAAGTGTGTTGTCGAAAGTGTGCTGCATTTTACGGCAGGTATGGCAGGTATCACAGCAGGTAGGTACAGTGGGTGTTGTGGCAGGTAGTGCCTGATCGCAGCAGGTAGTTTTTTTACAGCAGGTGTTTTTGGTAATATGCTTTTTTTGGAAATTGAGATCTTTGAGCTTTTAGTATAGGTTTACATTCATTTCCAAATTAATTAGTTTATTTTTAATTATTGAATTGTTGTTCCTATTCCATTCTATTGGATTCTATTATATATTAATTAATTTTAAAATAAAATTTGTAACGAAAATGATATAGGTATCACACTAATTATTATAGATTCTTTTACAAACATGTTTCTTATTGGCTTAATTTAATGAAAATGCTTTTTATTATTCTTTTATTCCTTGGATTTATTACAAAGTTAATTATTACAATGTATTAAAATATATTTAATCTAATTGCAATAAATCGGTATTATAATATTAGTTTATTTTCAGTATCACCAGTACTTTTCAGTTTTTCTGGTAATACAGAAAAGTTACTGATAAAAAAGATTTTATTGATAACAAATTCGAACTGGATGAAAGTTCTAATATTATGAATAATGTTCATAGTTTACAAAAATATGAAACTAAGAAGTTTCATGGTAAGGGTAATAATAGGAAGTAAACGTGAAGAAGAGTTAGAAGAGAGACTTAACAATGCCCTTGATGCACTTAAAAATCTATGAGAGGAATATGAAAAATTACAGAGCTTGTATAAAATCATATCAAGAATCTAACAAGGAACTCTCCTCCTTACAACATGACTTAAAAGGGCAAAAAATTATATAACTTAAATTACAGAATATATGCAAGGCATGATTGATGAATGCAAACAATTGCGCTCCGATGTCAATAGTGCAAAGTGGATATCTCTGACCGAATTGAATGCGTTCCCTATAAAGAATTTTTCAGAAAAATGATCACGAGCCTGAGTTTCTTCAGAATAAAAACTAGAAAAATTATCATTTATCAGAGTTTTTCCCAGTTCCATTATCTAGAATTTAGGGGCCGCCTAAAGTGGGTAGTCACGTGATTTTCAACATTATATGTTTAGACAATTTTTTTACAAACTAAGATTAATATGAACTTGAAAAATAATAAGATAATCTGCTCTGCAACTTTATTTAGGGAAAAAAAGTGAATTTCGAATATTGGTTTTGACTTTACATATGAACGAATGAAATTTGCTGATCATATCCAAAAATGGTTAGATTCATTTTACGAAATAAAAAAGTCAAATAACTCAAAAACGGTATTCAAATCTTCGTTTTTGCTCTAAGTAAACTTGCAGAGCAAGTTAAAATGCACTTACAATAAGTTAATTTAAAAGTTATTCATGTGTTGAGAAGTTATATTACGAAAAATGAGCTTTTTCTCTAGGATCACGTGACTACCAGCTTAGACGTCTCCGTCGTCCTCTAATTTAGCAATTCCAATAAAAAAAATATTTTTTTTTCATTAGAAATATAATCATAAAAATGGTTTTCTTGATTCATGATAAGTTTTAATTTCACAAATGTTTTTATTATAATATTATTGAACTAAAGTAAATGAAATTATTTGCTTCTCATGAAAAAAAAAAATCAAAATTTGACCTGTCCAACTGGAAAAAAAATTATTTTTTTAAAAAAAAAATTGTCAAATCACTAAAAGATGATTGGTCAGATTAAAAATAATATTTTTTTTTTTTTTTGCCCAAGCAAAGAATTTATAATTACTTTGAATTTTTTCCATCCAATTGATCTAGGCGGAAATTTATATACTATTTGGTAAAACAATAATATATTGGTAACTTGAAACAGTTAATAGTTAAATTTGTGTAATACGTTAATCATCAAGCATATTGTGACATCAGATAAATTTGTGATCAGATCATTGACACTTTTATATTAAATCAATTTCATGTATTTTATGTACTAACCAAGTATACACAAATTACATAGTAGGCGTATACATTTCTGCCATTTATTTATTTTTTTTTACGCCGTTTATTTTTTATTCTTTCTTGGAACAAATAAATAAAATAAATGGAAAAATTAAATATCGATTGTTTTATCCTAATTTTTAATGAGTTACAAGCGGATAAGAAATCATTATATTCCTGTCTTTTAGTTAATAAAGAATGGTATCATTTAGTAGTTCCTATCTTATGGGGAAATTATCCATACTTTAATTGTGAGAAATCAAAAGAAAAATATTCTAATATAATACTTTCCTGCCTACCAACATCTTCAAAACAACTTTTATTTGATAATAATATTAAGTTATCCTCAGCAATTCTTTCAAACACCCTAACGTTTAATTATGTCAGTTTTTGTAAATTTCATAGAACTGGAATTATAGATAATATTATAAAGGTAGTATTTAAAGAAAATTTAAGTATTGTTGATTATTCAAAAAAAAGAAATCTTTTAGAGCAAGAAATTTACAAGTTATTTATTAGTCAATGTGAAGGCATTAAAGAACTGGATTGGCGAACTTCTCAACCTTTACCATCATTTCCAGGAGCTATAACATTTTTCTCCCAACTCTATAGTCTATATATTGATTTATATTATGTAGATTCACATAATCTTTATCAAATGGCACAAATTTGCAAAGATTTGAATGCACTATATGTTCGAAATTTCATTCAAGATATTCCCGGATTAATTTCTTTAATCAATGCACAAAGAAATTTAAAAATTATATCATTTGATTTTAATATTAAGAAAGGGACGTGTGAGGGACTAAGTGAGGCATTAGCAAGAAAAGGCTGTACAATAAATGAACTTTCGTTATTTGGCTCAGTTGGAATTATTCCACATTCGTTTTTAACATCACTTATCAATCTAAAGGATCTAACAATTTATTATGATTGTGAAAATTATGGAGGGATTAAAGAATTCCAGAAATGTTTAGCAAATTCGGAATTTCCGAATCTTCAGTTTCTTGAAATTGATGATGGTTCATTATGCTTTAAGGAATTGGCAATGTTAATTGAAAAAACAAAAGGAAACATTACATATATTTCTGTTTATATGTCTAATAGATCTGCTGATAATACAGGAATGTTACTTAAAGCAATTTCTAATCATTGTCCAAATATTGAGAACTTAACTACATATATTGGATCTGATGATTTGATTTATGTGAAATCATTATTAATGGATTGTAATAATTTAATGAGTTTATGCCTTAATAGTTTTAATGAAAATAATGATATGGGGGATGAATTATTAAATATTTTAATTAGATTTTCTCCAAAATATTTAACTGATATAACAATTAGTGGAAATTTGGAATATTCTATTAGTGCTTTTATAAATTTTTTTGAAAGTTATAGAGAGCGAAAACCACTTTGCTTTTACATCAATGATAATGGAGAGCATATTACAACCGGACATGTAGATGTTGTTAACAAATACTATGGTGAAAGGATAATAACAAGTTCAAATCTTTTAGTTTATGATCATTTCAATTTCGCGTATAATTAAATTTTATTTAAGATGAATTTTTTTTTTTGGATATATCTATTTGTAACTATATGGTGATATTTAAGTATATAGATTCTATAGTAAAATTTCGAGATTAGTATTAGGGTTAAGATTACAGTATAATGAATTATTTAATTAAACTCAAAGGGTCAAATACCTATGGTGATAAATAATTATATATTGTAATGAATAGCAGAATCCTTTTTTTCTCATTTTATTCTTTTTTTTTTTTTTTTAGGTTAGTCTTTTTTTGATGGAGAATTTTATTTAAAAGTCTTTTAATTGAAAATATTTTTTTTTAAATAAGAATATTGAGGATTTTGGCTTTTTTTTTTTTTTTTAATAAAATAATTTGGTAAAATTAAATAACGGTTGTTTTATATTTATTTTTAATGATGTGAAGATAAAATGTCATTATATTTCCATCTTTTTGTTAATAAAGAATGGTGTCATTTAGTGGTTCCCATCCTATGATATAACTTTCTCAATTTGTAGATAAACCAAAAAAACTTTCTAATATAAATACTTTACTACCTGTCAACAACTTTACTTTCCCTCAACAATTATTTCAAAGCATCTAACATTTATTTATATCAACTTTTGTAAATTTCTGTAAGTATTGTAAATATTGTGGACATTGTGCTTGAAAAACTTTCTATGATTATTTGCCAAAATTAGATCTTTTGGAACAAATTTGTTAGTAAATAAAGAATTATTATGAAAGCTTTAATATCAACATTTATTATTATTTTAGTTGGATAAATTACGACGTGATCACAAAAATGGAACCATGCATAACCATATATGCATGTACTTCTGACAGGATAGATATATAAAAATGAAATTATCCAATATTTTACTTGAAAATTTTCAAATAATCTTAAGATGAAATAATAAATTACTTTTCCCTAAAATTTTTCAATCAAATATTTTCGTTTTATATATGATAGAAAACCTCTTTTGGACCGACCAAATTGATTAATTTGATTAATTTCACAATTTAGTAATTATGCTGAATTAACCTCAAAGTACAAATTATTCTTTCATGATGGATTTAACTACTATTAAGCACTATTTGTATTCTCATTTAATAATAAGGAAAATATTGAAAATTTTATTTCAAGTCAAATATCGGATAAATGTATTTTTGCTTCATTTATACACTATAATTTTGACGATGGTATCAATCTTGGTTTCGTTATATTTTATCTTAAATGAATTTTTTTTTTACTTTCATTCCCTTTTAATAAATAAAATAGAATAAAATGAAAATATTAAATATTACCCATCTTGTTTTAATAAATTACTGACAGCTAATAAATCATTATATCATTATATTTATGTCTTTTAGTTAGTGTCATTTAGGAATTCAAAGAAAAATTTTATAATATAATACTTTCCTTATTTGATAATATTAATTTAGTTAAGTTTCTCAATTATTCTTTCACTTAATTATACCATCTTTTGTAAATTTCTAAAAGCTAATATTTTAGAAAATATTATGGATATAGTACCTGAAAAATCAATTTCAAATTTTCTATCATGATTTCTACCAAAATTAATCTATTGGAACGAAAAATTACGAATTATTTGTAACTGATTTAAAATTATTAAGGAATTATCATGAGTTTTATTAAATAATTGCTGTTTATAGTAAATCACTAAAAAGTTTCTCCACGTCTGGTCTTCATGAATCCTTGGGATATTCAATGCTTTTTTATAATTACTTCCAGTCATCGTTCCTAATCCATTCTGGCTATTAAATCTTTATTCCAAGATGTGTAATCCCTATATATGATGGGTATGTGCAAATTAATATAAGTCAGATTGAAAAGCAAAAGGAAAAGAAAATAATGATCTAAACTTATTGAGATTTATGTAATAAAGGAGGGCCACTTACTAAATTAACTACTAATTTCTCAGAAGGAAATAGCCAAGTTTCCATCAGGCTATCTTTGGTGGGGTATACTGAATCCAATTTAGACCTGACTTCTAGATCATCCTCGTACTCATTATCCTTCAAGTCAGAATATATTCCAATTCATTGTTTAAGCTTTAATTGCCTGAATCTACTATAGTTCATAAGAAAGGATCTACAATTCTATCTTTGGAACACTTTCTTTTCTTTCTATGATCTCCTACATTATATGTTTTGAATTTCGAACTAACAATTGTTCAAGTGAAGAATCCTTCCGTTTTTGTCCATGTAAAAGTTATATTATATCTAAAAAAGTAAAGTAATATAATTCAACATTTATAAAAATAAAGTATAAATGAATTACCAGTACTGTTGTGATTTTCTTTGTTAAGTTTCTTGTATGAAGTTATTTCTTCTTCCATAGGGGTTCTTAACTTTGTATTTAACCATTTATTTTCAGTATTGACCTGTTGTAAAGAAGTTACTCATTAGTAATCCATTGTTTATTTAGTAATAAAGGAAGGTGCATATTCCAAGGCCTTTATCAGCAACAAATTTAGGGTGCCCGAATTGAGGACTGGAGTGGTTAAACCCAGTAATTCTCCTAAATTAATCGGAATCAACTCTAAATTTGCAAAATAAAAATGCATCTTATTTTTTAAATTAAGGTAGTTAAGTCAGTGTACTTCAAAAGTTAGTTTTCCACATATTATTAAGATTGCCCATGTATTCAGGGATGATATTTATTCAACAGTTGTGTAATAGAAAGCCAAAATAAATTTTTTTCACTTCTTAAGGTGGTTAAAAAGCCAAATAGAAATTTTAACTCTTGAGAATGGTAATAATACATAGGAAGAATATGAAACAAATGGGACTTACTATCTTGACCAAGATACTTTGTGTTCATTTTTAAAACTTCCCTGTTTATAAATATTGACTTTAATTTGATATTCAGTTTATGAAAAAAAAAAAATTTTTAATTAATTGCGAATAATTTGAATGATAAAAAAAAACTATTGAAGGGATAGACAGATTTGAGGTAAAGTGCGTGGCATAATGACAGCAAGTCATTCTCCATATTGAATACTCCGTGCCTAATAACTCTATAATGTTATACGTAATCAAATTTACTCTGGAGTTATATGAGTCATACGTCTATAATGTGACATGACTTAACATCATTAAAAGCTGCCTTCCACTAGAATTTAAATGAAATAGTTTAAATTTGGAATCTAAATTAATCATTTGAACTATTCAATTTAGAATTTTCAAAATTCTGTCTAAATTAACCAATAAACAAGAAAGTAAAGAACTTCCATCATTATTTAATTTCTGAAAAATATAATGTAGTATATCGTTATATAACTTTGCCATTTTTATTTTATTTTGTATTTTATTTTTGTTAGGAATTTAAAGTGCGTATTTATTTATGTTGATGTCGAACGAATCGTGTGATTCGTGTCAGATGACAATGTGATAAATGATTAGTCATCCGGACGCGTGATTTCGTACAAGCCACTTAAGCCACGCTATTACCATTTACCAAAACTTTGGATATGTAAATTACATTATTATGTTATCCGTTTTATCTACCTCTATTACATTTTTTATTCTCGCGTATTACTTTATGAAAAAATACAATAAAGAATTTTTGCTTTCAAATTTTTTTCGCATTTTTTTAATACTCAATTTTTCTGCAATATCAATTATGAAAAAATATCACATGCATTACACAAATAGAAAAAATGTTTAATAAATAATATGCAAATTTCTTTGAATTTGAAAGATCTTCCTTATTTTCCTGCTTAAGGGTCTTTCCCGTACTTATTTTCCTATTGAAAGCAATCACTATACTCCGTGCTTTTGTTTTCATATTCACTTTATGACTTACGAATAAATCACTTTAAGTTATAAAGCCACGTTTTTGTATAATATGCAAGGTTAAAGATAAAGCCGAATAATATGTAGATTTTTTCTCGCCGTTCTCACCGTAATATTATGTCTAAACAAAGCATTGTTTATTAATTTTTTTTTTTTTTGGAAAAATAAATTTTATTGAATACTCAAATCTAAACTTTAGCTACTACCATCGAAGTGATAATTTTTTTCTTATTATAATAGAACAACATTAAAAAATTTGAATAATTTAATAGTATACTTTAATAATTTGAATAAGTTTATTAAAATTATTTAAATTACAAACTAAGAATTTTGTACTCTAGTCTTAGTGTTTAAATAATCCACGATAAATAAATAAGTGATAATAATTTAAAATATAAAAAAAATATTGTTAATTTGATTTACCAAAAAAATTTAAAATCCATCTAAAGATAAAAAATAGGTTAATTATTTGCTTTATAAAGAAATTTATTTTTTCTACTTTATTTTAAGAGCTTACCATCAGGAATTTCCAGTTCATCTTGTTCTTTTGAATGAAAGTTTGGATTGTTATATACTTCGTCATCATCTGTAATAGATAAGTAAATAGAATTAGAATAGTATTAAAATTGTTTTTTATTACGTAAAATTTTCACCTACCAACAACATATTTTTGAGTTTTTTCTTTTTTATCATCTAAATTTAAATAAAAGTCGCGTTTAATAAATTAAATTGATATAGTAATAATTTATTCGTTAGTAATTTACTTACTATTTGACTTTATTTGCAACTTTTTAAATGATTTAGATAATTTTTTATTACTATCTAAAAATTAAGATATAGATTTAATATATAAATCAATCTCGATTTGACAATAATTAAAATATATTACCTCTAAAAATAGTAATTACTTTTAATGTTTTGCTACTATTCTGCTCATTTGATTTATTAAAGTCGTCAACTATAAAAAATTAATTAATCATTATATGATAATTCAACGCTATAATGTTATTAAACACTTACTATCGTCAGGAATGTTAAAATCATACAATTTACTATGAAACACTAATTAGCAGTAAAATTTAAAGTGTTTAGTATTTTAAACTGGATTATTATAAAAAATAGTAGAAATTATTATTTATACGGTTATACCTTCTTGTTCTTCTGTTATAATAAAAGATAACATCAATAATGTATTTTAAAATAAATATATTCATTAATAAAATATTATACACTTAATACCTTCTGTTGCATTTCTTGGTTCAGGTAGATTTCCAAAGTTATGAATTTTACTTGTACTACTCGTATAATTTTCTTCTACTCTATTCATTTCTAAATTATCCATTTCTGATTTGAATAATTCATCTGACATATTTTGATAATATAAATTAATTTTTTGTATTTTATTCCAAAGTGTAAGTATATTAGGTCTTTTTAATGGATCAGCATCCCAACATTCTTTCATTAAATTTTTATATTCTAATGGAGTTCCTGGAACAATTTTTGAACTTATACCGTTAATAATATTCATTACAATATCATTTTCATGTTCATAATTTATAAATGGTGTTTGTCCAGATGAAATTTCCCACATAAGAATTGCAATACTATAAATATCAGATGCAAAAGTATATTCTCTTCCAACAATAACTTCGAGTGCTATGTAAGGAAGATTTCCATATATACTTGTTGAAGATTTATCAGCAGGTCCACAAAATCCAAGATCACTAATGATCCAACTATTGGCTAGTTGTGAATATAATATATTTCCAGAATGCAAATCTCTATGAATTGCTTTCTCAAAATGAATATAATAAAGTGCAAGAGTTATTTCATTAATAATTTTCATTCTATCTTTCCATGTAAGTTGATTATGATTTTGTTGTAAATATTTTCTTAAATCTATATCCATTTTATTCATTACAAGCATATAATTTCCATTTGATGGATTTTGCGTTAAACCATAACATCGAACAACATTTGCCCATTTATTACTTATAGTTAAATGCGATTTAGCCTAAAAGACAATAATTTGTAAAAATACTATTTCTAATACAAAAATTACAACAATTTTATAAAATATAGAATACAATAATACAAACCTCCTCAATCCAACTTTGATTTGCACTTTCAACATTTTCTAACTTTTTAAGCACTGTACCACGATTCCTGAGTCTCGTTAATTGTTTTTTTTCAGAATCCCATTCTTCATAATGTCCATTAATCCAATCTGCTGTATAAATTTCAGAAAATCCACCTTTTGTTAAATATTTAATATTTTCTAAATTACTATATGGGATCCATTCAACTATTTTACTCGGCATGAGTGATTCCATTTGACATTTCTGTATTAAATTATCAATATCATAATTACCAGATGTCCAATTTGAAAAATATTCTTTTAAATAATTTCGAACACAATATTCACAATATAATGTGGCTAAACATTCTTGCTTACAATTTTCACAAATTCTTTTTGTTCCTGAATTAAAATTAACTTTATTTCGATCATGACCTTTAGTTATCCATCTTATTGCAAAAGTTTTTTCATCATTTGTAAGAATTTTATCAGCAAGGACTGTTTGTTTTTGAAATTCAAATTGTTTATGTATATCATTGTAAATATTAGTATCTGTTAATGTAGACGCTCTATTAATTGTTGCATGAATTAATTCATATCGAAGGGTGGACATAATGTAATCAATAAGAAAGAATGAATGAATTATTTAAAGTTCATTTACTTGATAAATTAGTAAAATGCAAATTGTTGATCAAAATTTCATGTTGTCTCACATAAATTTTGTGACCTTGAGGCGTAATATTTTACGCCTCATAACCAAAAAAAGAAAAATATTACTACCATTTACTTATTTAGTATGATTAAATAATTGCGTTTTTTTATTTTTTTTTATTTTTATATTTATATTTTTTTTAGAAAATATAATTTGCGTTTAACAAATTTGATTGTCATTAGATAGTATCCTTATTAATATTCAAATATGATTGTTATTCAATTGATGAAAAACCAATTTTCTTTTATTTTTGTGTAATAAATAAATAGGCGCAGGTATGTCTCATATTACACAATCCAATTATCTATATGGGACAATTCTAAACGTCAGGCATATTTTTTGTTATATAGATAAGTTTAAAAAAAAATTTAGTAAAAATTTACTTGGTTTTTTTATGTATTATTTTCATTTCTATTATTAAATTAAATTATGCTACAATGAATTTAAAATTCTTTCAGTTTACATAGTGTTTAATTTTACCATAATAGGACTGAAAAAATATTTATAACTGATAATATTAGGACCTAATTTTGTAATAAATAGACTTATTATATAATTTTCCAGTAAGTCAAATTAAAAGTGACTTATTGTAAGATTTTTTAATATTCATCTAAAATCTTTTTATTTAATAATAAAAAAATTAATAATAAAAAAATAGACGATATCGATATAAGTACTGTAAGGCCTAAGCCTGTGATAAATCACGTTGCCACCGTAGTCTTAACAAAAATGATATTTTTATTAATAATATAAAATTACGACAAAATAATATAATGCTTGGTTTAATAATCCCTTTTCATGAGGTCTAAATTTACCCCTATTCATATTATAATAAATGATTTTCATCGAAATAAATTCTAAGTCCACAAAAATATTTCAGTTCTCCCTTTTTTGAATTTTGATCCTAACAAATTTTGATACTAGTGATGCATTTTCTTGAAGTGATTCCCTTTTCAAAAATGTCGTTTTCCATTTTTCATAATTATAAACTTTTCAAAATTCGCAATTCTTGATCTTCACACTTTATCCTTATAAAGTAAATATTACGATCCTAATTCCCAATCCCAAATCTAAAAATAAAAGTGAACACAAGAACTATGTAATACTAAACATTACTCGTGATCCCGGAGTTATGATTAGCCCATTTTAATGTCATTACGGACCGCAGAAGTAAAAATACTATAAAATTTTATAAATATAATACTACGCCTCACAACTAATAAACTAGTCACGGCATTACAGTTACTCATGCGATGATCAACATTTGCCAGCCAATGAAATCATATGATCACGTGATTAATCAGGTGTTGACTATGCGAAATACAATCGTTAAAGAAACTTCACTTAAATAAAAAAAAAACTCTTTCCCCTTTCCATTTTTTCACATAGAAATCCGCAGTTAAATACTGTTTTTACATTTTACACCCTTTTTACGTCTTTGAACGTTGAGAAGATAGAAGACCACTGGGTGGCTTCTTATGGAAAGGTTCTTCTCTTTATTACCCGACCTCTGAAAGAAGTTTTTACTATATTTTTATCTTACATTTTAAACACATATTAAAAATATGGTTTTTACTTTTCAAAAACCTATTCCCTTGGGAAAATTTTCTTTCGACGTCTCATTTCACAAATTTCACGTGACTAAACCCAATCGGGCTGGATGTAACAAGATTTACGAAATCAGAAGATCAAAAAGTTTCTTTTTTGAGTTAGCCGATCCCTCAGCAAACACCAATGATATTCATCTTAAAATACACACAAATGATTATCACATGAAATCAACCCCTATTAGCTACTCTTCCACCTGTAGCTTTCCTAATCTGAGGTTTCAGATTAGTAAGATGTTACAACATTTTTTTTCTCATCAAAAAGTTATCCCACGCTCCATACAAAAGAAATACTTTAATCTTATACGTTCCAAATTGCTTAATAGATATTTTCTTGTCAATTCACGTGCTGATAAAGTCACACTTAGAAATTCACAAACAAAAACTTTCTTTAAATTTTCATATAAACGTTACCGTTTTTACTTAGGTATATTTACACCGTGCAATTTTTCCACCACCTACAATTTTGAACCAAAACACACACAGATATGTCGTGTCCCCTCTCCTTACATTATGTCTCATAATAGACGCGCTTGCGTTTCTCATCAAAAAAATTTAGACATTTTTCATAACATCAAGAAACCGACCCTGTTATCGGATGATAACATAAATAACAAGCAGTTTCATGCAACTCTTATCCATAAACGATGGCAACATCGTACCAAAAAGCACGTTAATTCAAACCGTCTAGGAATTTCGTATGATGTTTCATACATAGCTAATGATCAAAAATCCATTCCTATACACATAGAACGTCGTATGTATCAAAAACGATTTAATAACTTCCGTTCACAACACTCCGACAGAAGTAAAAGGAGCAAAAAACAAAAATCCCGTTTTCAACGGGCTTGTAGATCTGTTTTCTACAATCGTGGTCACAAGAAAAAGAAAAAACTTCACAATGGATTGGTAACTCTTGAAGAAAAACTACACCGTGCTCGACAACACCGTTTCCTCTTTTTACCTTCACAACATATTAATAAACCTGTACAACATTTAAGATATTATAAAGGGCTGATGCTCAGACTTGAGAAAGATTATAATTTTCCTATACCTCCTGAACGATCCAGGCGACCTATAGGCGCTGTAAGCGCAATAACTGTTTAACGCAAGACCCAAGATCGACTCTCTCGACAACGTTCAAGGGATAATTTACTTAGTACTTCACATACTCACTCACCTGCCACCACACCACAACCCATTCTCCTCAAAGAAGAGGAGACGTGGCATGAGAAGTTGGGCATTTGGATTCCTAAAGACCTTCTCCCTTATGTAACTGATGAACCTGTTTATATTTCTAAGAGACAGGCAAAAATCAAAGGTCAACAATTTTCACCAGGATGTGGATTCTGGTTCGATGGTATTAGAAAACGCAAAGAAGCTCATGAATTAGCTGTACGACAACAAAAAGAACATGAAGCATGGGAAGTTAAACGCCGTGCCCAGGAAGAAGAACTTTCCGCTAGAGCTAAACTCTGGGGTACTTCCTCCAATCGTATAGAATATCGTGAAGATATGTGTAAAGATCTCACTAAATTTCAAGAACATTTTCATAAAAAAATCACACCTTTAGCAGACCGCCGTTCAGTTTTACATAACAGACTTACACAAGGCAAAAACGTTTACAAAACAAATAAACAATTGCTCCAACTAGAGCAAGAATTAGGTCGTTTTAATATTGACTACTTTTCCGTTATTGACGACAACTCACCCCAATACCGTTAAAAAGGACACACCTCGGACGACACAAAACAACTAGAGCTAAGACCACACAAGCGTCCCCCTATCTTACCTGCGTATACAGATAGGCATAACATTGAGATCAAAAAAATGAGACTGGATATAATGTCTCCTGAAGACTCTAAAGTCTTCGCTTTACCTTAACCCCGTTCGATTACAACTTTCAGCTTATTTACTTTTTTTTAGTGGCTTGCTGATAGTTATATACTTACATTTTTTAGCCACACATTCATTTTAGACTAGTAATTTTTTTTTTTACATCTTTTTTTTTTGGGTAACCCCACGTACTAAATTTTATACCATAGTACAACAATAAGAATAGTGTGAAACATTCCACCTATGACAGTATTTACAGGTGGTGGTCTTAACCGACCAAAAGAAAAATACGGATCGTTTCTTTTTTAGTTCGATTGTGCTAAAGCCTTTTCTTTGGTCCATTGGGTTGTGATGTCGTGTTAGGGACTCCTCCGGGTTCGTTAAAGGTACCAGAGTGGCGCTGTCCTCGGGCGGTTTGATTATAGCTTAGTATTAGATAGCGTTCGACTTTTGTTTTATCTTTTGTTCTTGTCTATCTTTCTGTAATCTTGTTCACGTGGTTTTTAAAAANTTTGATTATAGCTTAGTATTAGATAGCGTTCGACTTTTGTTTTATCTTTTGTTCTTGTCTATCTTTCTGTAATCTTGTTCACGTGGTTTTTAAAAAATAAAAATAAAGAAACTTCACTTAAATTTATTGTTTCTACGCCGAAATTAGACATTATTTGTTATTCATTCTTAATATATACATATACAGTTCACGACATAAATATTCGGAATTTTATCACAATATGTAAAAATATAATAAAGTTTATTTTTTTCATTTCAAATTTATTGTATTTATAGTTTAAAATGCGCAGATAAACATACGTCAAAAATCAGTAATTTATCGTGTAACCATTTTTTTCTATGACCATGTTAATCCGATCTGACATGCTATCTGCTAAATTAAAGAAAACGTTTTGATCAATGTTATCCCATTCCTGCTGAATTATGCCCTGAAAATCATCTCCACTAAGTGATTTTTTTTTCATAATCCAATTATTGACCCTTTTTTCTACATTCCCTTTGAGAATCGCCCATAGATTCTCGATAGGATTCAGGTCAGGTGAGTTAGCAGGCCAATCAATAACTGAAACATCGTTAATCACAAAAAATTGATGGGTAAGCTTTGCAGTGTGTGTAGGTGCGTTGTCTTGCTGAAATTTCCATCCATAACCAGCATGATAAGCATTAGGAAGTAGTTGGGATTGAAGAATTTCACGGTATTTTGCAGAATTCATGTTTCCTGTAAAAAGTGCAACTCCAATTGGTCCCTGACGGCAAAATGCACCCCAAACATGCACTTTGTATGGATGCTTTACCATAGGATGTGATGGACGTGGATTGCCAGCCTTGTAACGCACAATTTGAGTATTACGGAATGTCTGAAATGTACTTTCATCTGAAAAAATTGTGTGAGACCAGTCATCTTGGGTATGGTTTAAGGCCCATTGAAGACGAGTTTCAACATGACTTGCCTTAAGAAGGGGAACTGATCGTGGCCTACAAACAATATAATTAAGTTTATTTTTGAGAGTACGTTGAACAGTTCGGGTTGATACATTAAGGTCTGGATATAAATTATTCAGCTTTGTAGTCATTAGAGCTGAAGTTGTAGCATTATCATTTTTAAGAAGACGGCCAAGATATCGACGTTTTTTGGGAGAAAGAACAAGAGGACGACCAGGAATGGGTAAGTGCTTAACACTTCCTGTTTTTTTTAGACGGTTGACAATATCATATACTGTAGACTTAGGAAAACCAGTTATTTTAATTATTTCGGAGGGTTTTCGTATGTTATTGTCCCATAATTCCTTTATGGTTAACCGTTGCATTTCAAATTCCGAAGTGGGCGCCATGAATTTGTTTTGCCACTAATAAAACAATCAGGTGAGAATTTTTGTGTTTATATATATATTCTAAAGGGGCTGGTGAATTTCCATTTTAGTTATTATTTTGATTGCACAAGACCTGGTGTGACAGCGCCCCTTTATGCACAAAATCAAAAATTCCGGATATTTATGTCGTGAACTGTACATGTTTGAAAAAAAAAAATGTAACAAGACGCAGATTTTTTAGTAGACACAAAAATCCCTCATAATCTTGGATCAAAACTTTTTTTGAAGATTGGTTTCAGGCAATGTATTTCACCGATCCTGTATCAGGGATGACATTTTCTAATAAAACATTAATATTTGCGAAGCGTTATAAAAAATTACTACATATCAATAAAAAAATATTAATTGTTAATTCTTGTGATGCATTATTAAATCATTAATTATTAATAATATAAATAATATTCATTAAAACATTAATTTTTGCAAAGTATTTAATTATTGCAACGTATTTTTTATAAAAGACATTAATTTTGATATATTTTTGCAATTTTTGCGAAATATTATAAAATTCTTGATTCATGTCGATCATAAGTAATTTTTTTCTGATACCCGATTTTCATTCTCTTTATTATAATAATTTTTTCACATAATTTTACTTTTTATTTGACGCCATGAACGCCAGATTCCCATTTAGATATTAAAAATATATTAATAATTTTTAAAATATATCGCAAAAATTAAATAAAAATTACGTATTAATAAAAAGATTAATTATTACAAAGTATTACAATAATATTACGTCTATAAAAGTAATAATATAACGAGATAGTAAGTGTCGGGATAATGAGTTTCGGCATCGAGTTTGTGTTGTAACGGGATTCGTCGAGATTTTAAACGACTCCATATTATACATATTGGAGACATTTAATATTAATTTTGGTTGTTATTTTGACCCTAAAAAAGAAAAATAAAAGTAAATTAATAAAAATTTTTAATGAGAAAAATAATTCATTATTATTTTCGTATCACAAAAAAAAAGTTATACCGTATATGTAGAGCTCATCTGTGGATTATAGGGAATCGAAGAATTAACCATTACCATATTTGTCTGAGGATTGGCGTAATTCATTTTTTCATTCTCATTGTCGTTTATATTATTCATCTTTCTATTATTGTTATTAGCGTTCAAACTTTCAGTATTTCTCACAGAAATTACTGACATCTCAGTATTGTTGGGAGGGTGCGTGTTGTTAAATGGAGGCGTGTTGTTAGGTTGGGGTGTGTTATTAAATAGAGGCGTGTTGTTAGGTCGAGGTGTGTTATTAAATGGAGGCATGTTGTTAGGTCGGTGTGTGTTGTTGGAAGGTTGTACGTAATTGAAAGGAATTTCAGGTAATTTCTTATCATCGATGGTGATTGAAAAGTCCTCGTTTGATGCAAGAAGTCTCTCAAGTTCCTCTTGTTGGTTAGTAATTCTTCTAAGTTTATTATTTCTATAAAGGTGCAAACGGATGGTACACTCGGTGATTTCAGCGAGGGCGTCATTAATTTCTAGCTCTATCTCTGCTTCCTCAGCATACTTTGGCGTTATCTTTCCCTTACTTTTAACACTATTTTTTTTAGATGTATGTTTCATTCCTACATCATAATGAGTGAGAACTTTACGCCACTTGAGTTTCCAATTGGCAGTTGGGTTGTCTTTGACGTTATATCGGTCAAACAATATGTTTATAGCTTTAGAAAATTGTGAGGAGCGACGTCCTGCTGCTTGATTGACTAAATGTCTCCCCACAAAGTAAGCGAGAACATTTATAGTTTGTATCACGGAGGGAGCAACATAATCACCATTTTGTTTAGCCGCGAAGCCAGCAATAAACCCACCCAAAGTAACGAAAAGTAAGACGAAAACACATAAAAGACCCTTTTTTGCTCTTTCACTCAGCAATGGGTTTGCAGCGACTATTCTATTGATTTCTTCAATACGAGCTTCTAATTCTTCCCTGTCAAGATAACCATGCATATCAAGACACCATTCCGTTTCAAAATAATACTTTGGATTAAAGTAATCAAGATCGAAAGTATTTTCTTCTCTAATGCGATTTAATACTATTTTCATATTGAAGTATGATTTTATAAAAAAGCGTTAGTGAATGAAAAATATAGACCATTATGGTAAATTTATTATTTATAAGAAAATTTTTTTTAATGATTACAAAAAAAAAAAAAAGAAAATATTTTGCTTTACAATAATAAGATTCATATTTTAGTGATAATACAGGCTGTCTCTTATACACATCTAGATGTGTATAAGAGACAGGAAAAATATAGACCATTATGGTAAATTTATTATTTATAAGAAAATTTTTTTTAATGATTACAAAAAAAAAAAAAAGAAAATATTTTACTTTACAATAATAAGATTTCAAATATTTCTATATTTTAGTGATAATAAATTTATGATTGTATCACTAAAAAAAAAACTAATGGCGAATTATTTCATTTCATGTACAATAACATGTTTTCTTTTTGGAGTTAAACCCGTATTTGTTGTAATTATGATGATTATGCATAAAACGTCACACACACTTTTTTTTTTCTCCGTAACGCCAAATTTTGTGATATTAGTTAACAATGCAAATAATTTCATTCTTTTTTTCTTTTTGTTCCTCTAAGAAACCCTTTTAAATCACGAATTAATTAAAATAAACTTACCATAAAGTTTGTAAAACAAGATTCTTTTTATTTCATACCGACGTGGTGAAACTTAACAAATGGATATCTGTCACACGTGAACGTTAAATGGTTTCATTATATTTCACTAATTATGGTTTTTTTTCAAATTTTAATTTTTTTTTTTTTTAATCTGATTCAAGATTTTACCCCTATAAGAATTTAATTCGAATTAGAGTTTGTTTCCGTTCATCGGATATATTGGCGGATAACCAAATATTTCTGCAGGATATGAATCGGTAAGTCGATCATTTCATTTTTTGGCGATAGCCGTTCCACAAAAAATCCTTTTTAAGAGAATCATTAATATTCGAAAGTTTAGGAAGTTACCGATGTGCCGTTTCTCTGCCACACAACCTTTTTCGTATTATTATTTATGTAACAATAATTTCCGAAAAGGAAAAAATTTTAAAATCATTCTGGCCTATATAATTGACCCGTACTGCCAACAGATATCCAAAATTTTGTATCCGTTCAATCCGGATATCCAAATATCTGTAGATATCCGTCTTTTGACAGGTAACGGATACAAACCCTAATCCAAATATTTCCGTTACAACCCATACTTTTTGTGAAAAATTCCGTGTTTATGGAAAAATATAAAACAAATACCATGACATTATCCCCTGATCGGCACCATTTACACGATTATGCAAATGTAGTTATACCTACTGGGTAGCAAATTTTATATGTAATTTATTTATCCGTTTCTAGGAAATTTTGCAGTAAAAATTAACTATTGATTATACTATAATGGACTGATTTGAAAATTTGAGTAATTCGGAAAGATTTGTATTTTCCAAATGAGAAAAACTTTCTTTTAATTTATTAGTAATCTCAATATTATTTTCAAGTGTAATAGTAATAGTTCCGAAGCTTTTTAAAATTTTAAAATCTTTTAAAATGAAAAAAAAAACCAAGCGAAAAAAAAATAAGATTCAACAATAAAATATGTAATACTTACATCATTCGTGTATAACGAATAATAATTATTCTCAAGTCATGGCGGGATGTCACGATAACTTAACGTCAACGATATGGATTAAAAGTATGTATAAGATTTTTGTAACAACATTCATCTGAAGAACCGTGTTTGAGATTGATTTTTATAGTATTCTTTTCCATGACTGGATGTATGTTGCAAATGACATTAGGTAATGGTTAGCTATCAACAATTTAACAAATCCTAAAAAAAATCGCTTTAAAAAGGTTAAATATGAGTAGTGAATATATACAAGAAATACCATAAATTATTGGATGTGACAACATTGTGAATATGTTAAAAGTTCCTGAGACTTGGAAATTTATGATAATAGAATTTATTTATACAATAATTATTTATAAAATTCAATAACCACTGCTTATCTACTTTTAATGTAAATAATCACCTAGTTCGTTGATCAAGCAGCATCAATATTTTAAGATTATCTGAAGCTTATTCAACTTATAAATTTAGAAAAATTTTGAAGGAATTTTAAAATTATAATTTAATACACTATAATAATTTAATTAAGTTATATTAGTAAGAGAATATGAGCTAAGGTATAATAAATTACACCATTAGCGTACTCATACGCCGTAATGAACTTGTTTGTTTTTGTGTCTCGTATACCTTTAAACTACTGTTATCCATTACATATTTCATATGATTATTAAACTTTAATTTTTTAAATTTAGTTAACTTACTTCTTGTAAAAAATCCTGAGCATATCTTAAGTGTAACGATGCTAGACGAAGTCATAGCGACCGATAATTTACCATATATATCTAGAAATACATTTATTAACAGGGGACTTCGTTCCCTGTGATTATACCTAATCATTTAGAGTGTTTGAGTTAAAATACTTCGTCCTTTAGATTATTAACAAAATTGTGGTTTTTATTTTTAGGCCAAAAATATTTAGGTATCAAAAGATTTGTGTAATTAATCTCATAACCTTGTTTCGGTCGGTTAAATTATTGGTTGTTAAAATCATCCTATCCGGGTAGAGAACAGGTTGGGTGATATCAGATGACCTGATCTGAAATACTAAAAACGATTTTTTATACGTGACCGAAATTTCGAAATTTCTGAAAATGCAGTCGAATCCGAAAGTCCAAAACTTTGGGTCTGAAACTACTTCCGAGTCTAAAATTCTTACCGAAATTAGAGTCTAAGTACAAAATTCCGGACGAAACCTTTTTATATAGAATGAAAATAGGTAAGATCTGTTTTTTCATTTTAATAACGTCTGTAATGTAAATTTGTTATGTAAATTTCATTTTGATGGTAGTAGTTTAGAGTAGACTTCTTAACTTTCTGGTGAATTTTCAGGCTTCTTAATTGGTGGTGTTTGTGATTTATTTTTTCAATTAATTAATTAATTTAGCCTTTCTTTTCTTTGTGGATTTTATTTTTGACTTCTCGTAGGGTGGACTTCTGTATTTATGGTAAGTGTCAGTGATGGTGTTTTGAATGGCAATGACCGAAGTTTCAAAGTTTAACGTTAAACTTTGAATTGATTCTTTTATATTTTGATTTTTTAAAAGAAATGTTTTACTAATATTTTTTCATTTTGTTTGTAGGTTATTAGTGGTAATGGTGGAGAGTTTTGAAGTTTCGAACTTTAACATCAATTTCGAAAACTTTTTATTTATTTTATTTAAAAGAAACATATTACTAATCTTTCCTTTAATCATGAGTGTCAGGATATGCTCTGAAGATAATTCCTTTTTTCGATTTGATAGTACATTTCGAAGATAAAATTTCGAAATTTAGATTTCTTCCCTTCGTAATTTTGGTCGGATACTTCTTCAGAAGTATGATCGAAAGAAAAAAATTAATTGGAGAAATTGTTAATACGTTTCAGAATTGTGCTTAAAAATTTTTTATTTTTTTATCGTTTTCTAATATTGAACAATGAAATATTGTCAATAACATTGTCGAATAAGTCCCGTATTATTTCGTAAGAATTATTTTATCTTAAGGAACGGTTTGTAAGTTACAAATAAAGATTATTAAAATTCGTGGTGGTACAACGTCTGCAATATATTACGTTAAGAAAAATCCGCATATTGTATCAAAAAATCAGTGGTACACAAATTACGTAATAGGTTACGCCATTCATTTATAATTAAATTTTTTAAAATTTTGGGTTTTAAATCTTTTTTTTTTTTGAACTGAAATAAACTAAAATGGAAAAATTAAATATTGATTGTCTTGTTCTTATTTTCAATGAATTATGGAAAGATAATAAATCATTATATTTATTCATGTCTTTTAGTCAATAAAGAGTGGTGTCATTTAGTAGTTCCTATCTTATGGAATAATTATCCATCCTATTTTATAAATGTAGAATCAAGAGAAAAATTTTTTAATATAATAATTTCTTGTCTATCAACCTCTTCAAAACAACTTTTGTTTGATAATAATATTAGACTATCTCAAACAATTCTTTCAAAAACCCCAGCGTTTAATTATATTAGTCTTTGTAAATTTTTTAATGGTGAAATTCTAACTTATATTATGCGTATGGTTTTTAAAGAAGAATTTTTAATTAAGGTTGATTCAAAAAAAGTATATCTTTTTTTACGAGAAATGTACAAGTTATTTATTAGTCAATGCAAGGGTATTAAAACATTTGTGTGGGATACTTATGAACCTTTATTATCATTTCCTGGAGCTTTAACATTTTTCTCTCAATTATATAGCCTAAAAATTAATCTATGGTTTATAGATTCTAATAGTCTTTATCGAATGTCACAAATTTGTAAAGATTTGGGCGAATTAATTATTGAAAATTGTTCTCAAGATATTCCTGGATTAACTTCTTTAATCGATGCACAAAGAAATTTAAAAATTGTATCATTAGAATTTAAGATTATGGACGGTTCGTGTGAAGAATTAGGGACGTGTGAAGAATTAAGCAAGGCATTGGCAAGAAGAGGTTGTACGATTAATAATCTTACTTTACATGATTCAGTTGATGTTATTCCACATTCATTTTTAACATCACTTGTTAGTCTAAAGTATTTGGGAATATATTATGATTGTGAAAGTTATGAAAGGAATATTGAATTCCAGAAATACTTAGAAATTTCAAAATTTCCAGATCTTCAGTCACTTGAAATTAAAGATGATTTATTATGCTTTAAGAAATTAGCAATGTTAATTGAAAAAACCAAAGGAAATATATCAAATATCTATATAGAAACTTGTAATGAATCTGCTGAAAATACAGGAATGTTACTTAATGCAATTTCTAATCATTGTCCAAGGATTGAGAACTTAGTTACATATCTTGGACCTAATGATTTGATTTATGTTAAATTATTATTAATGAATTGCAAAAATTTAGTATGTTTAAATCTTTTTGGTTTGAATGAAAATAGTGATATAGGAGATGAATTATTGGATATTTTAATTAAATTTTCTCCAAAATGTTTAATTGATATATTAATTAGTGGATATTGGAAATACTCTATTGGCGTTTTTGTAAATTTTTTTGAAAGTTATAGGGGACGAAAATTTTGTTTTAATATCAGTGATGTTATTGAATATATTACAAAAAAACATTTAAATGTTGTTAAGTATTACTTTGATGAAGGGATAGTAACATATTCAAATCTTTTAAATTATATTAAACTTTAAACTAAGTGTAAGTTAAGCAAAGACACGTATCATTGAGATAAATTATTAGTGACATTTATTTTTAAGTAAATAATGAAAGAAATCATAATGTAAAGTACGAGTTTATTACAATTTTACTTTATAGACAATTTTAGTAGAGCCAGTGATTATATTAGGTACTGTAACTAAGGAATATTGACTTTTTAACTATAAATAAACATATTTTTTATTTTGATTATATTTATGGTATATTTTTTATCTACATTGTAAATTATAAAAATTAGAATGTTGAAATTATAAAATATAACTAATTTAACCTTAATCCGAACTTAAATATTTCATGTAAATTAAGCTATATTTAGCTATGCATTACGTAAGCATAAGTTTTTGCAACATTTAGTAAGAGTTTCTTGTTATCTATTGACGTAGAAGTATTTTATTTGAAGGTAAAAATTTCATGAATCAATATCTTAAAATACTTTACAATCATTTGCATCAAAAAGGTTCATCTTTAATAAATACTTGTATAACACTATTAAGTTATGGTAATTAATTCCACAATCTAGGCATTATGATAGTAATGGATAGAATGGTTGATGTATTTTTAATATGTCACGCATCAATAAGAATATCCATCTTTTCTTTTTAATGATTGAATTTTATAAATTTTGCTATAAGTATAGTATCATCATGATAAATTGTGATTTATCTTATCATTCCACTTATTTACAAAAAAATTTGTCAACTAAAATAATGGAATCTCAATTATTCCACTTCTATATAACTTTTTAAATAACTATATTAGCAAATAATACTTTTTAATATAATTGTTAAATGAATATATAAATTCATAGACTTTATTATTTAATTGAATGTAAAAATATAAAAAAATATCAAATTCAATTATCAATTAAAGAGATTTTTTTTTCTTTCTTAAAATGATTGTACAATTTATATATCATTATAATGCCTTTTCTTTATGTGATAAATTTGTGCTAGAATTCACAATTTGGTTGAGATCATTGCGTAGTATAATAATTATTTTAGGGTTACAGTACGATTTCCTGAATGCCTTTTTCCTGAATATATCTTTTCCCGAAGTCATTTGCCTGAATGCCAATTTTTTGAACTGAACATTTTCCTGAAATATACAATTTCCCGAATCCTTATTTCCCGAATCCCATTTCCTGAAGTCTAATTTCCCGAATCCTAAATCCCAATATCCTGAATCCCAATATCCCGAATTCAAATATCCTTAATTATAATATTCCGAATTCTAATATTCTGAATGGACAATTTCTTGAATTAATAATAAATTGTATATTTTCTCATATGATTTATAAATAAACTATATAATAAATTTAAAAAATAAGAACTATTGATAAAGACTAATTTCTACCATTTTATATAAAACAATTGAATATGAATTTTATATGTATTAGTTATTTACTAATCTAGTAGTATATAAATGGGTTATCATCCGAAGGATGATGACCCATTTATATACTAAACTAGATCAGTAAATAACTTTTTTATCATCCTGGATATACTAATTGGTCCGCCAGTTTATAAATGGAAGAAAAAATCTTAAATACCAATTAGTAGCCAGGTGATAAAATTAATTTACATTTTAGGAGAAAAAGATTTGGTACAGGTACAAATTTCAAACAGATACTTTGACTGAATAATAAAATCTGCTCGCTTTTGCATTATTTATTTTAAGTATTTGTTTTAATACAAGTTAGTTTATTACATATTATATTTATATACATTATATATAATTTATTGATTAATATACTAAATAAAATAAAGGTTGAGTCTATGAAATTAATAATTCTAATTTATGATGTAAAATTATACAAAATAATATTAAATTCAGTAAAATGTCCATTCAGAATATCAAGGTTCATGATATTGGAATTTGGGACAAAATAATTCAGGATAAAAGAATTCGGGAAATTGGATGTTTCATATAATTCCAGAAATTGAGATTCGGGAAATTGGCATTCAGGAAAATGGAATTTCTGGAAATGATCAATTTCTGGAAATAGGTATTCAGAAAATTGGATTTGGGAAAAGGTATATTCAGGAAATTTGGTATTCAGAAAATGGTCTGACAAGGGGTTTTTTGCTGGATATCGTAGACAGTAAATTTTACAAAAAATGCACATATGTACCACAATGTCAAATTTAGCCTGCAAAATGGCCATTTCAAATTTGTACTTTTTTTTTCTTTCTTTATAGGAGTTAATTTAATTATATGGTTCAACAGTGTAAAGGGTAACTGTTGTTAAATTTAATAACAGAACTAAAGGAGTGGGTTGGTAACTTTGTTTGTAGTTAGAAAGCATAACAAAGGCATGGTATGGCAGGAGTGACATCTATTCAATGTGCATAAATGTAGGTTATACGGATTTTGCCATTTAAGTTCTGCATCTTATACAATAAAATTCGGTAATAAATACCATTTTGAAACTAAAAAAAAAAAAAANAATAATAAATTGTATATTTTCTCATATGATTTATAAATAAACTATATAATAAATTTAAAAAATAAGAACTATTGATAAAGACTAATTTCTACCATTTTATATAAAACAATTGAATATGAATTTTATATGTCATAATTATGTAATTTGGGGAGTGGCTATTTCAAGCATCCCTTGCCTGTACAAGTATTACGATCAATTGAAGTAAATATGAAGTAAACATAAGGAAATATATATACAATCAATTAGGAAATATTGCATTTTAGCTAATAAAATTTTTCTCTGACCCACTGAGTTGATAATATTTTCCTAAACATCAAGTAAATATAATTAATTTACATTTTAGGAGAAAAAGATTTGATACAGGTACAAATTTCAAACAGATACTTTGACTGAATAATAAAATCTGCTCGCTTTTGCATTATTTATTTTAAGTATTTGTTTTAATACAAGTTAGTTTATTACATATTATATTTATATACATTATATATAATTTATTGATTAGTATACTAAATAAAATAAAGGTTGAGTCTATGAAATTAATAATTCTAATTTATGATGTAAAATTATACAAAATAATATTAAATTCAGTAAAATGTCCATTCAGAATATCAAGGTTCATGATATTGGAATTTGGGACAAAATAATTCAGGATAAAAGAATTCGGGAAATTGGATGTTTCATATAATTCCAGAAATTGAGATTCGGGAAATTGGCATTCGGGAAAATGGAATTTCTGGAAATGATCAATTTCTGGAAATAGGCATTCAGAAAATTGGATTCGGGAAAAAGTATATTCAGGAAATTGGTATTCAGAAAATGGTCCGACAAGGTTATTTTAGATCCTTTATAATTTTGATAATTAGTATTAATTCTCAACACATTTTTTATGAATCATTCAAAAATTTAATAGTTTATAATATAATAATAGCGGTTAAAGCTCCCGGACATAAAACAATATATTCTCATTCCTTTCGTCCTCTTTTTTTGTAATTATTATTTGCTCAGCTGAAAAAAATACCTCAATAAATACTAGACCTCCATAAGTCTAATTGGCTATAATGTGCATGTGAATTTTATTAGCTACTGAAATCCAACATCAACATTTTTAACATTTTTCGTAACATTAGAAAAGATTTCCACAGTAATCGTTCGCGTAACATTTTTATCACGTAACCAATTTAGCAAATTATTTTTTATTTCCCATTTGTGGTAGTATTCGGACCCGGTTTGTTGATGGATAGGTTTCGTTATACTTTTTAATAACAATTTGGTTCTAATTTTTTTTTTTTTTAATAAAAATTGTGTTCTTTATTTTTATTTTTTAGATAAAAATAATCAGATTCTTTAAATTTAATAAAAAATCAGATTCATTAATTTTAATAGGTGCTTTATTAATTTTTCTAATTAAAATTTGTTTCTTTAGTTTTTTTGCTAGTAATAAAAATCTTCATTTTTTCTAATAAAAAAAAATTACTTTAGTCCTTCAATTTTTTTCTTTATTTTTTAATGAAAAATTTAGTTCTTTGTTTTTTTTTTTTAATAAAATCAAGTTCTGGGTAGCCCACATTTTGAAACCAGTTCGATCTGGACTTGGACCTAAACAAAATTTCTAATAGAATTTTAAGATTTTAAGAGATGGAAGACATATTTAATTGACAAAAAAAAAAATATACATCCAATTTTATATTAAAAAAGAAATTGTACAAAATATTTGTTAGAATTTTTTAAGGAAAATTATGAAAATCAAATTTCTTTTCCAAAATTAATTCCGTTGGAATGAAAATCGTACTAGAATATACTTATATTGGATCAGTTAATGAACAATCTTTAGTGCAATTGTAGCTTTTAACTCTGGAAATTATTTTCAATTATTTGACCTTCAAAAAGTTATTAATAAAAATCATTAAAAAAGCTTATTAAAACATTTTTTTATTGTGCGATTTATTAAATTATTTTATTTGAAAAAAAAAATTCTTAAAAATCAATCATCCAATTAATTACCGACCAAAATTATTTATTGAAAAATTAAATCTTAAAAAAGTAGAATCAATTTATTTACATCACGTGACATGTACATGAAAAACGTAAACTAAATACAAAATCTAATTGGTCGTCGATAAGCATGCGGGACAACAAACGGTACTACACTACGCTTCGGACAATAATTCAGGTTACACTTGAATTGGACCTAGTCGGAAAATTTTATAAAATGAACGCCAGAGTTTTTTTTAATTAAATAATTTAGGTATTTCTAAATAACACCAGTTCTTTTCACATTATATATAAATAATTAAGAATACAATTAACAAATTTTCAGATTCTCCAATTTATATATTTCTATTTTTACTTAAATTATTATTTATTTTCAGGGGTAAGATGTAAAGTTTTATGTTGATATAAGAGAGTTATTAAAAAAAAACACACTACGCATATTGTGACGCAAAATAAATTTGTGACCATCACACAGAGAATCATTGATATTTTTATGTTAGATCAATTTTTTCATTTAACCAAGTACACACAGATTTACATATGGAATACGTAATTCTATGAATACGTAATTCTATGCACACGTAAGTACGTAACAATCGTAACGTACGTAATTCTATACACATTTATATATATATATATGTATATATATATATACATATATGTATATGAAATTTGTTTTTTATTCCATTGATTAAACTAAAATACTGTAAAATAAAATGAATAAAATGGAAAAATTGAATACTGACTGTTTTATTCTTATTTTTAATGAATTACGAAAAGATAATAAATCATTATATTCCTGCCTTTTAGTTAATAAAGAATGGTGTCATTTAGTAATACCTATCTTGTGGGAAGGATATCCATACTCTAATTGTGAAAAATCACAAGAAAAGTTTTCTAATGTAATACTTTCCTGTCTACCATCATATTCAAAACAACTTTTATTTGATATTAATATTAAAGTACCTTCAAATTCCCCAACATTTAATTATGTCAGTTTTTGTAAATTTCTTAGAGTTGGATTTGTAGGTAATATTATATATTCGGTATTTAAAGAAGAAGTTTTAAATAATTCGAAAAAAAAAAGATTTTTAGAGCAAGAAATCTACAAGTTATTTATTAATCAATGTAAAAACATTAGAGAATTAGTGTGGAGAACTTTTCATCCTTTACAATCATATCCAGGAGCTATGACAAGTTTCTCTCAACTCCATAATCTAGCTGTTGATCTAAATTATGTAAATTCTAATAATCTTTATGAGACGGCACAGATTTGCAAAAATTTGGGTATATTAACTATTTGTGCCTTTTCTCAAGATGTTCGTGGATTAATTTCTTTAATTGATGAACAAAGAAATTTAAAAGTTGTATCACTTAATTTTTGTATTAATGAAGGAACATTTAAGGAATTAAGCAAAGCATTAGCAAGAAAAGGCCATACGATCAATAACCTTTCTTTATATGACTCAGTTGGCTTTACTCCACATTCATTTTTAACTTCTCTTAACAATCTAAAAGTTCTAACAATTTATCATAATAATTGTAAAAGTTATGAAGGAATTGAAGAATTCCAAAAATATTTAGCAAATTCAATATTCCCAGATCTTGAAATTCTTGAAATTAGTAATTTATTATGCTTTAAGGAATTTGCAATGTTAATTGAAAAAACCAAAGGAAATATTTTGGATATCTATGTAAATATTTTCAATAAATCAGCTAACAATACAGGAATGCTAATTAGTGCAATTTCTAATCATTGTCCAAAGATAGAGCATTTAACTACACATCTTGGACCTAATGATTTGATTTATGTTAGATCATTATTAATGAATTGCAAAAATTTAATAAGATTGTCTCTTAATAGTTTGAATGAAAAAAATGGAATAGGAGATGAATTATTAAATATTTTAGCTGAATTATCTCCAAAATCTTTAACTGATATAGAAATTAGTGGAGATTGGGAGTATCCTATTGATACTTTTGTAAAATTTTTTGAAAGTTATAAGGAACGAAATTTACTTAGTTTTGTTGTCAGAGGTTATTTTCGTTATATGAGCGGAGAACCTACTACTACAACTATTACAACAGAACATGTAAATATTGTTAGGAAGTACTATAATGAAGGAATAGTAAAAAGTTCAAATCTTTTAAGTCACCATTTTATTAATTATTAGAATTAATACGGTTAGCTTTAAAATAATGTACTGTAAGCTAAATATCATACCATTGTACATTTTAATAGAGTACAATATATTACTGGATAATATATGATGTACTTAGCCAAAGGTTTATTTACAATCTTTATTTATAATTCAAAAAAATCATATTCTTAAGTTATGTAAGCTTTACTAAAATAAATTATCTATAAACATATATTAAATTTATATAAATCTCTTTATCTGTCTTATAATCTAACTTGAACTTGAAAATTTTACTGTATTCACGTAAGGTACTCGCTACTCGGTTTGGTTTAGTTTCGGTTTTAATTCAACCAAAACTGAACCAACCACAAAAGTGACCGATAAAACTGAACTGTAAACCGACCACAACCTATTGCAAACCTGAATAAATAATGCTAGGAATTATCAATCATATGATCAATGTGCAAAATTAAAATTGCCAATAATTTCAAAAATGAGAATATAAACATTAAAGTCGTAATTTGATTCGTGATCCGTGAGTCAACTGCAAAAAATTCATATATGATTTCGGTGCAAATTTATGTTGATCATTGGTAATTTTTTTCTGATACCCGATTTTCATTCTTAAATGCTCTTTATATGAACCTATTCAACACCAACATATTTTAATACATAATATTTATCCTAAAGTTTCAAATAGTTTGTTTTTTACAATAATTTTCCACATAATTTTTTACTTTTATTTGACGTCACGCCAGATTCTCATTTTCTGCAGGTCATTTGCAGTTGACTCGTTACTCGTGGATCACGAATTAATGGTATCCCAATTTTTTTTTTTTGAAATATGCTAAAAATTTGCAATTAGCTTATCAATTTATTTATCAATTTTTCATATAGAGCTGATGGTTAACCGGTCGGCCTTGAAACCAATAAAATCAATCGGTAAAGATCAGTTGAGATCGGTTATAACCGAACTTTTGGCATCCTATACAGAACGTAATTTACTTTGTGTCGTTTAACAAGGAAGTGCTTCTATCTAATAAGGTTACTAATAAACATATTTTTTCTCATTTTAAGGATAACTCAACAATCAATCATATACATCAAAAACATTATACTTGTTGAAAAACTCCATATTTGGTATAAGATTAATAAAATTATTATCATGTGCTATATCGTCAAGCTCGTCAATAGTGCTGGTAAATTAATATTTTAGAACTTAATTAGCATTATTATAACGTCATCATGATGAAAATCAAGTGATAATATCGTTGTGTAATAATAAATTTGAAATAACAATATAAAATGCTTAACTAAAATTATGTGTTAAATACCAAGTTGCATTTGGCAAAAGATATAATAACATCCTATATATTATAAAATTTACTATAATATCACCATGAAATAGATTGATTTGATATTAATTTATTGTGCTTTTGTTTCTAATTAATACAAAATAACTACAAATAATTTTCGCCTAATTTATCATATTTCCAAAGGTAGTAGTAAAGTAGAGCTCAGTGTTAGCATTAAGGAAGTGTCATTATTGGGACTTGGATAAGGAAGCTAAATATGGTAATTTGAATGTAAAAAAAAGAAAATTTTATTAGTTGCTCAAATTGAGTTCGTTTGTGGTTAAGTTGGATAAGAAATTTAGTGGACTTGTTGATGGTTAAGATGTAGATGGTGAGTCTCTACTATTTGATGCTAAATGGTTTGGATTGCCTGGTCGTAGCGACAGATTTATGAGTTTGGTTAATGTGTTCTGTAGGCCCTATAAAAAAGAAAATTCGGAATTGTCCTGAAAAGTATGGAAAATGTCCAGAAATTTTTCGTGTGTCCGGAAAACATTTGGAAACGGTCACATTTTGGAACACTTTCCGGACGCACAAATTCCAGACATTTTCTTGGCACTCCAGAATTTGTCCAGAATTTGTCCAGAATCGAGCGTCCGGAAAATGTTCCAAAACATGACCGTTTCCAAATGTTTTCCGGACGCACAGAAAATTTCCGGACATTTTCCATACTTTTCAGGACAAATTCCGAATTTTCTTTTTTTATAGGGAGGCATTTTAATTGTGGCATGATGAAGGCGTAGCTTTTGTTACAGTTAGGGTAATTGCATTTGTAATATTACTAATATATGCCAAGCAAGACAAAATTTTTGTAAAAACAAAGAATAAATGTTTGTTTGTCTATTATTTAAGTAGTTTATTCAAGTATTGGTTCTTTAAAGCTTGGTACTTACCCAACAAAAGTTGTCAGATTTTGCTGAAATAATTTCTAATCACGGTTGATATTCTTCTAATCAAATATTAATTATGAAAAAGTAGTGGATATTTTAAGATGTGAAACCATAAACCAATTAAATCATGTTTAAAGGAAAAAGAAAATATTTTTAACATTTCATATAATATATTTCATGAATTTCTAAACTTAAGTATTAATCAATAATCATCGAGAATCTATAAAATAATGTGTAAGATGTCATATGATTCATAACTTTACGTTCATAGTTTAGTAGTTAAAAGTTTAACGAGAGTTGGACTAGTTGGGATAAAAAAAGAACAAAGGTTAGTCTGTTGATCATAGAGAGACCAAATAATTAGCATTATCCTGTTCCTCGAATCCTCAGACTTGGGATAAGAGCCTGCTGATTAATGTTCTACAGAGAAAATCTATTAAGAAAAAACTTCGGGTTACTTTATAGGAGAAAGCAAAATTGTTGGGTTTTTAGAAATTGCTGCGCATATTTTTTTAATTTTGTGACATCTGGGAAAGAATTTATTCTTTTATTCATTCCATGTAATAGAAATACTTTAGTAATAAGGGAGTAGCGTAAAGTCATGTGATTTACTTACGTTACTAAAATCATCAAATTAAAAATTTATATATCGAGATAAATACTACAATTGAAACAAAACAAAATTGTAATTCATGTAAATCACAGTAAAATGAAATATTATAGCCACAATAAGTTTAGTAAAAAGTCTAAAGAAATAACCATAAAGAGAAAGTTTAGAAAATACAGAATATAAGGAATTTCAAAAATACTCACTTTTTGTATATTTTGCATTAGAAATAAGTAGGCTAAGTTTAAAATTAGACAACTTAACAAAATTATAAAATGTGATATAATTATAAAATTGTTTATCATAACTATATATTATTTCTTTTACATTATCGGTTATAAATTAATATATGATTGTTATCTGTTATAAATAATATTTAACTTATTAATTATTAATCAATATTTAAATAAATATAAAGCAATTCATGTATGGTGAAATATGATTTATATTTATTTGAAAACTTAATAAAAAATCAAATTATTTTGAATTTGCAAATTTTAGTAATCATTTATTATTATATTTTCTTCACGATAAATTAATTAAAATAAAAATTCATCTAAAAAAAATTAGCACCGATTGATATATTATTATTAATCCTCTTATATACAATTTAAAATTATATATTTATAAAAATTATCTTCGTTATAGTATAAGCCTTTTAATTCGTTTTACAATAACAATATGAACAAATAATATTTTTATGTCAATCCGTTTGAAAGATATAGATTCAGCCTTTATTATTTAATACAAAAATACCAAATTTTAATTATTCAAGTAGGTTTCCGAAAAATAGCCAAAAAAAAAATTACTATTGGCTGTACGCAATTTTTTCAGGGCCGGAATTATGATAGTGTCAGTCAGTTACTAAAACAGGAAATAAAATTCTGGCCAACATTATCAAAAAAGGAATGATTCGCATGATTATTTTGGCGCATCCTCTCCTTCAGTATTTTTCGGGATTCTATTCAAGTTGAAAGGAATTTTTTACTTTTCAAAATTATTAATTATTGTATTATTTAGTACATATCACCATTCAGTCCATTCACACTTATTATTATCATTATACACAAAATAAAAGTTTTTTTTTTTAGATAAATTTTAATACAAATTCTTAAATTGTATTAGACTTCATCAATAATTACATTCAAGTATTACAATTTACAAATACAAACATAAGACTATAGACAATTTTACGTTTTATAAATAAATAACTAAACTTCCTAAATAATAATCAATTTATTTTGTTCTACGCATACTGCACATAATACTAAGACCTTAAGCAATATAAATAGGTAACAAGTAGATCGGCACTTATTTACTATTTACTAATAGCTCTACGTATCTCTTCAAGGCCAGAATTACCTGGAATTGTCCAAAAAAGGAAGGATCTACGCATTATTTTGTTTCACTCTACACAAACTGCCGTTTTACGTATTTGCTAAATAATACTATTTGTTTATATTATTCAGCAAAATACATGAATGAGATAGATCATTATATTAATAGTTACACTATTAGTAATAAAAATTGAATTTTTCATTTTCATTTTTTCATTTTATTTTATATTCGAATAAAAAGAAATAAATTTCATCGAATCACTTTTATGTTATCATGTCTACTACTAGCATAGAATTAATTTATCAAACAATTAGTAGAGCATTTGCATCACTTGGTTATAATATTCACAAAGATTTTAATGATATAAATGAATTAATACAGCAAATAATTCTTGCTGATAATTCTCTTACAAAAGATGAAAAAATTAAGGCAATAGAAATAATTAATAAAAATCATGATTCATGTAAAATTCTTTTTAATGTAGGAACAAAAAGAATTTGTGAAAATTGTAACCAAGAATGTTTAGCTACATTATATTGTGAAAATTGTATTAGGAATTATTTAAAATCAAATTTTTCAAATTGGACGTCAAAAAATGTTAATATTGATAATTTTATACAAAAATGTCAAATGGAAACACTGAAACCAAATGGAATAGTAGAATGGATTCCATATAATAATTTACAAAATATTAAATATTTTACTAAAGGTGGATTTTCTGAAATTTATACAGCAGATTGGATTGGTGGTTGGTATAATGAATGGAATTCTAAAAATCAACAATTAGAAAGAGTTAAAGAACCAAGAATACAAAATAATATTGGAAAAGTTATACTTAAAAAATTAGAAAATGTTGAAAATGCAAGTCAAAATTGGTTTGAAGAGGTTTGTAAATTATCTAAAATATTAAAAAAAAGTTTAATGTTAATTAAAATTCTTTCATATTAATTTTAATATATAATTTTTTTATAGGCCAAATTACATTTAACTATAACTAATAAATATCCAAGAATTGCTAATTGTTTTGGTTTAACACAAAGTCCATTAAATGGAAATTATATGCTTGTAATGAAAAAATTTGATACGAATCTAAGAAATTATTTACAACAAAACCATAATCAACTCACATGGAAGGAAAGAATTAGAATTACCATTGAAATTACTGAAGCACTCGGTTGGATTCATAAATATGAAAATTCAGTTTATAGAGATATGCATTCTGGAAATATATTGTATTCACAATATACAGATAATTGGTGTATTAGTGATTTTGGATTTTGTGGCCCTGTAGATAAATCACTAAATAGTATATATGGTAATCTTCCTTACATAGCACCTGAAGTTATTGCTGGAAGAAAATATAGTTTTTCATCTGATATCTATAGTATTGCCATAATAATGTGGGAAATTTCATTTGGAAAACCTCCTTTTAATAACTATGAACATAATTATTATCTTGCAATGAATATAATTAATGGTATAAGGCCAAAAATAGTTTCTGGAACTCCCTTAAAGTATAAAGAATTAATAAAACAATGCTGGGATGCTGATCCATTAAAAAGGCCTGATGATTATACACTTGGCGTTAAAATAAATGAAATTAATGTATCATATCAAAATATGCCAAACGAACTAGGTGTGGATAATAATAATTTAAAAGTAAGTAACTTGGGAATAAATTATACACGCCACGGATCTTTTACAAGTAAAGTTCATCAATTTGAAAATTTTCCTGAACCAAAAAATGCAACAGAAGGTAATATGATCTATATTATGTAATGTTTATCTGCTTAAGACTAATCTCTTTTTATCAACTTTTCTTTCTAATCTTGTGTAATAACAGAAGAACAAGAAGGTACTATAATAATCATTATTTTAACGAGAATTTTATAAAAAAAATTGACAACTGTATATCATTTATTTTTAATAGTATTTCATAGTAAACCATATGACTTTAGTATATCCACTAATCATAGTAAGTATTATTAATAAAATTTATCAACTAAGTTTTTAATATGTATTGACATTAATAAATACTTTTATTATTTGTAGTTGATGATTTTAATAACTTAAATGATCAAAATTATGTTGATGTATCCAAAACAAATAGTATTTCAATAGGTAGTTATTTGTTTATTATTTCAAAAAAAAAAAGACGTTTATAATTAAGTATTACCATAATTTAGATGATGATGATAAAAAGTTATCTGATGCATTTAAAAGCCTACAAATAATTTCAAAGAATGGCAAATAAAAATTTAATACATTTTATTAGCAGAAAGCACTTATTAAACTTAATGTAATTTTATTTTAAAATATAGATACCAATAATAATCATAAGATTGAGAAAATACAACCAATTAAAAGGCATACTATAACAATTTATGGTAAAATATTTACAATAATAATATCATTCTAATATTGAATTTATATTTAGTTTAATTCTAATTTTTTATTTTTACAGACAAAGATGATGAAATATATAATAATCCAAATCTTCATCCAGAAAATGATGATTTTGAGATTCCTGATGGTTAGTACTTAATACTTTAAAATTAAATTGAATATCATTTGTTCATTGCTAATAAAGTAATTATTTTTTTTTTAGATGGATTTTAAATTATTTTGCAAATTTAACATCTTAATTATTTAAACACTAAGACTAGAATCATAGGTAATTCTTATTTTGTAATTTAAATGATTCTCCCATATATTCAATTATAATCATAAATAACATAAGTTATCTGTGACATTGTCTTACAGTGAATAAGACACTATAAATAATTTAGCAAATGTATGTAGTGAATTCTAGGGTAGTTCCCATCATTAAATATCTCATATTATAAAAATTAAATGGTAACATTTTCAAACTCCAAATTTTTATTTACTATATGTAATAATTACATAATTAAACCAAAGACTACTTACTGATAAATGATATTTTCACTAAAATGTCATAATTACTATAATAACTAGACCTATGGTCGCCTAGTGGCAGCCTTCAAAATATAATTAATTGTAAATGCATAGTAGAATAAAACACTTTTTTAAAAGAAATCCCAATTGTTTTATTATGCTTATATAATAATTGATAACATGATAATTTAGGTTTGTTTATAAAATAGGAAGTAGTTGTGATGCTATTTGTTCTAAGCAAGAATATTCTTTAATTACATTTGGATCTACTTTAAATGCATCCTATTGTTAAGTCAGTTCTTTGATGTTTATAAATATAAACAATGTGCAAAGGGTAAACAGAAGGATTATAATAATATGAAAACTACATAACAAATCCAATCAGATGTGATTAAAGTATGGCTCTACACTAGCTCATACACTCAGACACAATTAAAGGATTAACAAAATCAAAGTGTTTTCTTATACTATAACTGAGGAGAAAATTCTCACTCTTATCTACAGCAGTACAGAACTTATAATAAATTTTATACTTATATTGATATAGCAGATATAACAAATAAAATAAACATAATAAATAAAATAAATTTATCTAATTTAACTAATAAAATAAATATAGTAGATATAACAAATAAAAAATATATTAAATTTATCAGCTATACATGATTTTCGTGACATATCATACATCTATGACATTCGTGATATAGATCATCTCTTGTTTTGCAAACTTAAAATGATCAACGATCACGTGACACTATTTAAATTTATTATTGAATGTGATCCCATTTAGAACATCTGCTAATTGTAGTTAGTATAACCTTGGCCAGATGTAAATAATTCAGCAAGATCTAATGAGACAAAAGGTATAGTAAGACTTTGTGCCTTAATGAAGTCTCAATGAACAGTCAATGAGAATGAATTCTGTAATGGAAATTGTTCTTGAAGCTTGTTAACCACATGAATAGAAATAGACTATTTCTCTTGTGGATCCATTTGTGAATTATAGCATGGAATGCAATTTGAACATTTGGTTGGTCTTTATTAAGATCAGAACCATTACATATACCATCTTTTATAAGTGAATTGTTTAAATACATTACACATGCATCTTACTGAAGTCTTATAGTAGGTGGCATATTTGTTTTTGATTTAAATTCTTTCTGAACAAGTTCTGGTGATATGCATTTTCCTTCCAAAAAATTATAGCTTCCACTAATAAATATTTATTGCCATTAATTGAAAGGAGATTTACAAAGTGTATGGTTAATTTGATTTGAAGTTTTAGAATATCCAACAATATGTGTTGTTGTTAATAGTAGATCTAATGAAGATTGATTGCTATCATAATTTGCTGCCTTTTCTTCAATTTGGCCCAGGTATTAGTTGTTATTTGTCCAAACTTAATTTCCTCCAGCATTTGAAAAAACTTGTCATCTTTATGTTCATTGTCATTAAGATTTACATAAAAAAAACAAAGGGTAAAATAACTGCCATATTGATGAATAAAATATGGCCTCAACTCATACTAGGGAAGTTGTGCTAAATCACCAACAGCTATCATACTAATGCTTCCAAATAATGCAATATCAGAATTATGAATTCTTGCAAATAAATTGGTTATAAAGTTAAAAAGTAATGATGATATTATGGATACTTCTATGATTATTAATATTTGGGTGCTTTGCAACTTTTTTTTAAATACAAATAAATACATATAAACTATTAATACTCAATAAATATTAATTTTTAATATTTATGTTTAATAAATATAGGTTAAATGGTTTCTTAACTTTGTGATTCAATGCAAAGATAATAAACACAATTTAACTATAAATTACAATTAACAAAATTGACTATAAAATCCAATTAGATGTGAATAAGTATAGCATTACAAACAGCATATACAATCAGACATAACCTGTTGTTTTATAGTTATAATCCCTTATTTAAGTGTATATTACAATAAGATAACTGAAAAAATTAATAATAATACTTTGTTTACCAAAATATTAATTGTTATTATCTGTAATTATCAGTTTTTATCTGTTGGTATTTATCTTATATCAAAAATAAACACATCTATATATATAAACTAATCTAGAAGTGTTTAATATTCAATATATCCCATATATGCCATTTGTGTGATATATTTAACATATTTAATATATCAAACATTTCAAACATTGATCTTTCCATATGTAATATTGATCATCCCAGTTAGCAATATTAATCATCCCAATTATTATTATTGATCTCCCTGTGAGGAAAATTCTTTTTGCATATTTTGCTAGAAGGTACGGAACCACCACATTTTCTAGAATTATAAAAATTGTTAGCTTTTTCTATCAGTGTATTAGAAATGTAAAGTACTATTAACAGGATAAGCTAAGAGTGGGAAAGGGAAATTATATTCTGGATCTTTCAGCTATTGGATCTGTCAGATTATTATAAATCCAATTTTCAACATGTTCAAAGATTGATAATGCCATATCACCATAATACTTGGTATGTTTAATGTCACAGTACATATGAAGTTGATGATTTATTACTAATTGGTAAAATTCAGATTCAAGTTCTGAATTAGGAAAAGTAGACCTAACTATAATTTCATTAATCATTTTATCTATTGTTTTTTTTTAATTCAGAGTATTATATATGTATGTGGTGCTCCTTTATTTTGAAATTCAAACATTCAAAAAAATGAATAAGAATTATAAGATTCCCCAATTACTATTTGCAGGTTTTTTCCAATCATGATTCCAATGTTCTCTTTATTTTGTGATGAGTAGGTGAATAGATATATATAATTGCCTATTATTTGTTGGTATTATACTTATACCATCAGTTTGTTGATTTTATTAATATATTTTTTAATATACCATTTTGCAGTTAACATAATATTTGATGTATGTATCAGATGACAGATTATTTGGATCACTTGACTAATTCTATTAAAAAAAAGAAGGTAATTTAAATTCTCTTATTATCATAGCATTAATATGTAAAAGTTTTTCATGAAAGTATGTACTATCTCCTGTTCATATAAATGATGGCAATGTAGTAGTTTTACTTTTATCAATCAAACATTATTTGTCTGTATATATATTACATGTGATAAGTTTTGAAGCTGTTGGTAAATGGTATATTCTATTTGATTGTTTTTGATGCCAGAGTCACATTGTATATTTTGATGATTTTGTGACTTTTCTAATTTTAAATATGAATAGTGTGGCCAATAAGGGTGTAAATGAAAGCATGGATAACACATAATAGGTGGTATTTTATATATTTTCCATATGTTTCTATTTTTATTGAATTATTCTCTAAAGTATCTATACTTTGATTATAAAAGTGTCTTTGTCCATCAGGAAATAAATCTGGAAAAATCAATAGTTTAAGATCTGGATTATCAAATGCAAGTGGAATGGTTGTAGTTGGTGTTTTTTATAATTCCAGCCATTAGGTGAGTGCAGTAAAAATCTTCATTATGGATTTCTGTTGGAAAATCTGTAGATGATAAAACAATATCACCTTCCTGAATAGTAAGGTATTTGTATCAAAAGGTATATGATGAGTTTCTGTGGGTATTTTTAAAATAGTTGAAGTATGTAATTTATAAATTTATTTCTTAATAAATTATTAATTTAAGAAACTTTAATTCTTTTAATATTCATTTTTGTATCAAATTGCTCTAAAAGATCATTTTCTGATATAACAACCTTATAAAGTTTTTTTCAAAATCATTCCATGTTGTATTAGAAATATTCATCTTGATTGTCTTTATTAATTAAAGGGAAAGTCTACAGTGACTATATGATATGATTATTTTCTGTGTTAAATACTAGTGTTATGTTGCAAATTTTATTTCTTTTGTAAAGTAATCCCACTAAATGATATTACTTCTGTGCCCAGCCCAAGCAATCTAGGTATTTGTACTAAAAAGGATTTGTAATGTGATGTTTTGAGAGTTTCTAAATAATCAAAAAATAGTAAATAGTAACATGTTTCTCTCATGAACATTTTAAGATTTATATATGGAAGAACATTTATTCTACTATTATATTTTGCTATCTTCTGTTATCTCAATAAAATTTAGTTTACATGCATGTTTTGGCATGAGGTATTCTAAGAAGCTGCTGATCTATGCTTCCATAATCTTTCCATTTAATCTAACAATAAATTTCCAAGTTTGCATTTCCCATTTGATGTTATATAATTTTGTACATCCTATTATATGTAGAAAGATGTGAAAATGAGTGGATGAAATGTGATCCTATTATCAAACTGACTTTTGAAAATATGAACATTCCACATATATAAGTTTATATTTTCCATTATCTATCATTACAAATATAATCTGGATGTTTACCTAATTGCAACAGATTGCCTTCACCTTTCAAAATTTACTTACAAAATTATAAAATAAATTATTTGGGCGTCCAAGGCTCTCTTTTTTTTTTGTTTTGGCAACTTTTATATTTATGAACTTTATTCCAACATTTTACACAATAATCCTTATAAGATGTAACCATATTTAGTTATTTTA